AACTATTTTCATTCATTTCAGACGGAACTATTCACATACTTGTAATATATTAAACTGCACTTCCAATATTCACCACTGTTCAGCGCCATTTATCTTTTTCCTCTGAACACGGAGCAGCCGGTTTGCTTCGACACGCAACGAATCACGGGAAACCCAAGGATAAGAAGGATACACCGGACCCGTCCTTAAAAATTCAGTCGTTGGCCGCATAACAAGGAGTCTTCCAATCAAGACAGGCCTCGGAGCGGCACTATGACGTAATCGTCTGATTAATCTAGTCTTCGGAGGACGCAGCCACTGAATTCGAATTCAGCAACTAAATGTGAAGTACAGGGGTTGGCAATTCAAGTTCCTCAGGGCCGGTTTCCTGCCACTTTTATATGTGCCTTTGGTTCAACACACATGAAACAAATAATTAGATGACTGAGAGGACTGGATGAACTGACTGCATACTGAGGAGGTAACTAACCTCCCAGGAACTGGAAGTGGCACTGGGGGAATGCACATGGGCTCTCAGCTGTGTTCTTCACACAAAGAGTTTGCTGCGTATTTGCAACAATAGGCATGCAGGGTTTGAATTTGGTTTAATGTTCTTTCATTTGAAAAGCAAATACCAATACTGTCCCAGTTGTACTTGAAGCAATGAGGCCTTTAAACCCGGTAGAGCTAAAGGTCTGTGAAAAAGTTGTGAAAAGGACCTTTAATCATTTTTGATGATTTGAAACAAAAAAATTACATGATGGCCATGCATATTTAAAATATCAAAAACAAAAGCTTTTAAAACATATTCCACCACCCTCACCTCATTGGAGAAAAGCAGCATATCCTGCATTTTCAGAAATATTAGAGAACAAAAGAGTTGCTTGGCTTTCAAGGGGACAATGGCTACTTTTCTTATGGGAATGATCAGAAATCCAGAGTAGTTGAAAGGAAATGTATTAAAGGTATCAAACTGAATTAATGTCCTCAGTTACAGGATGCAGCTTAGAAATCTTACCCATTGAAAGTCATTTAGAAAAGGTAGGTCTGTGTTTTCAAATGCCTTACCTCTACAGAGACTCACCTCTCGGAGTAAATACCCCAGCCTTCAAAAAAGATATGTGGAGGAGATGAGTGTTGATGAACAAAAAAGGACTTCACACATTTTATTTATTTAATCCGCTACATATTATGCTGTCTTTTGTCAAATCAAAACAGCTCCAGTTACATAATCTTTGTGTCTTATGTTTCTGAGTATTTTGTTTAAAAAATGCACAGTACCTAAATACCCAGAAAAAAAATACCAAAAAACTCCAGATATTAAGGAATATTAATCCTAAATAAATTTTGTGGCAAGACATGAGGATGTAATTTAACAGACTCTTTATTATCCAGCCTGATTGAGAATGAACTGCTCATAGAAAAATGGGCAGAGAGTTTAAGGTCTAGATGTGCCAAAGTAAAGACATGTTTCAGAAGACAAGGCAATATTGGATGAAGATAACTGGAGTTAATGCAAAAGTAGTTTCAAGATAATAAATAAATGAGGGAGAAAAAAGAGCTGATAACATCATTACAGAGGATTGTGTGTATTTAAATTTGAAATCCCATATTAAATTTGGATTGATTACAATCAGACATTGTATAGATATTTAAAAAACATTTGAGAATAGAAACAGAGAAAAAGACCAACTAACTAGTGCAGTTTAGAAGTACTTTTATAACTTATAACTAACTAACTAACTAACTATATATATATATATATATATATATATATATATATATATATATATATATATATATATATATATATATACTACTGAATTGTATTTTTTGTACTTTTTTTTATTTTTACTTAAGTAAAAACCTGACTTACTTATGAAAACTCAATAAAGAACAACCTTTCTTTAAACAAAAACACTCCAAAGGGTTTTAGTGAGACTTTTTTTTTGTTCCCAGGCTTCACTGGTTCAATCTTATTTTCTAGCTGCAGATCCTGCTGTGTCATTTGGAGGTCAAGTGAAAATACAGCAGAAAGTTCACTGTAGCTGGTTATTGGAAGTAAACTACTCTATTCTAACCTATTTACACTACATACAACATTTATTTTATAAATTATACTTAAAAAGTAAAAAATAGATGTTGAAAGGGTTTCTTGTATCTCAGTTGGTCATTTTGTAATTTACTGTGTTTTTTTCCATTCATTGAAACACTAGAACTGGTGTTAATATGTTTTCTAACCTTACATCATCTTGAAATATTAAATCAGATGCTATGATGTGTAGCACATAGATCAGTTAATCCATACTTGAGTTTTTTTTTTTAGCAATTACAATAAAGTAGTGCTGCTCCTACATGAGTTTAATTTTTGGTTGCTCCATGCACATCTGCTTGCAGACGAGAAACTCTTTTTAACACCATTCTTCTGCCTCACATGATGGAATAGTTTCCACATAATCATATTTATCATTAAAACCTGGTAGCTTCATCCGACCAAAGCAAAAGGTCCCGGTAAAAAAGACCAACTAGAATTGAACAAACTCCAGCAGATGCGTATTATTGTGCTGAAAAGATAAGTAAAGGAGATCCTATCAAATCAATTCAATGACATTTTCAATCAGTAACATTCATCATCTAGTCTTACAAAAGGAAAGTAAAACAATTGTGCAGTTTTTTTCACGTTAAAACCAGCATGTGGTTATACTTCTTGGCTCCTACTGCAACAGCAATGTGCAAAAGTAGCGTGTAATGTGAGAAAAAAAAAAAAAAAAATTTTTTTTTTATTCAATTCAAAATACTTTATTAATCCCAAAGGGAAATGTTGCAATAACTCATAAATCTTTTTTTTTGACAGGTGTTGATAGCTGTAGGCAGGAAGGATCTTCTGTAGCAGCCCATCTACAGGCAACACAGTAAAAAAATAGGTATTAAAGATTCAGAGTAAACCTATTTAACTCTAAATGGAGCATTTAAAACTATACTAAGTGTAAAGCTGCTCAAGTATTGGAGATAATAATCAAAATTTACAGCCAGGAAGAGTAACCTTTACTGTATATGGTGTCAATTACCCGCCAGTCTTCTTGATTTTGACACTTATATTAGTAAAATTAAATCTGAGACCAGCTATAGAATACATTTTACACTAATTTGTAGTGGGACCAAATGGTATCTGAAACAGAGTTATATTAACCTCTGTAGTTGTTAAAGTAACACTTTTTTTTTACTGTGTACTTTTCTTTCATTGCCCAAGACAATGAAATTAATTGTGCAAAAAACACAAAATAGATTAAATAACCTATAGAATAATAAGAACCAGGTAGTAGATTAATCAACTCTTAAAAATATGTCAAAGTAACTGCAATAGGTGTATTTGAAAAAAAAACTTTAACCACATATTTAACTTTTTTTCTGTGACACTGTCAATCCGCTTCCTCCTTAAACTGGACTGGTAGCTTTTTTTGATTAGTAATGTCGATTCTGATGACAGAAATGAAAAACATATGATTAAATAAAACAATACTGTGCTTTAGGATGATTAAAAGGATTTCAACATCTGAAGCCAGTTCACTTTCATAACCACAGTTCCCCAAAGAGAAGTTTGTCCTGAAGAAATGGTCCTTCCACATCTAGGTGTCAATCCGGATGTGTTTTTTATTCATGTTTTCATAGCACTATACACGACTTAAGACATACTGATGTTAAAAATAGCACAATTATATATTTTAGTTGTGTGTTTTGTAACTATACATTTATATATCAATAACACTATATATGCAAAAAATAAAAGAGTTGTTCTTGGGAGCCCCGTTAGCCCACTAGTTGCCATCGGGCCCTGAGCAGCGGCTCAGTATGCTCACGCCTTCCATTGGCTCTGACTCTGCAGACGAATATTTCAGTGTTATAGTTATGAAGTATGATTGCGTATGTGTGTCTCAAAATAAAGACTCCAAGTCACAACTTATATAGCAAAAAATGTTTAATCTCTCCTTGATGCGTGTTTATTTACAAGTAGTAAATCTGCAAAATAGGAAATAACATAATATTTACACAATGAGTGTTAACCTGCAAACTCTCGACAGTAGCTTTAAGTCTGAAACTCTAAAAAAGTATCAGTATTTGAAGTATTAAAAGTCTCTTGCCAATATCTGAAATTCATTTGATTTGTGTCTTCAAGAAATAATCACTCTGGGAAAAAAAAAAAAAAAGTATTCAGACTGAGGAAAGTGGGAAAACAAACTGGAAACCAGGCCTGACTGTAATTTAAATCAGCAATGATTCAAAAAGGCTGAAAACAGCCAAAAAGTGAGGAATTAAACATCCCTGTGTGCAGAGTAAATAGACTTGAAGACAGTTGATGTTTTTGAAGTGTGACTGAAAACAGCATCGAATCCAGCAACAAAGAAAAGCAGGGAACTTTGCTCCTGATGGTAGCTCCTTCATAGAACCATACAAAACACTCGAGCTGCGGAGTTGTAGTTACTGCTTATCAGCGGCCACTTTGAGCAATAAAAGACGAGAAATGAAGAAGGAAGTGCAGGAAGAATGTTTTAAACTTGCAAAGCAGGTCAATTTAAGAAAAGCAAGTGACCATGAAAGTGATAAATGAATCCGACCTCTGCAATCAGCCAGGATGACACAGACTGAATCAAAAAGAGAGAAACAGCTGGCAAGGTTGAACTTTTTTCAAAGTGACTCAAATATTACTGGCTGGATCCTAAGCAGCATGCTCCAGTAGCTTATTCTGTCCTGTGCTTAGACAGTCATACGACCCTAAACGGCACCACTCAGCTTCAACAATATTAGATCTTTATACCATGTGATTTATACAGGAGTACAAAAAAGTAAGAAATAATCACCCCCTCCATGTGATTTTAGGTTTTGGGCCAGATTACGATCTAATGCACTTCAGAATCCGTAAAAGACTAGAAATGTATTATAGAAATCTGTTAATCAGATATACAATTTAGTCCTGTTTGACGACCACGCTTTGCCATATCTTCATACTGTGCTTACACGGGGGGGGGGCGCACTAACATTTTTGACTGCCTTGGATAGCCTCTGCTGCCCTCTAAGAGAACCACGTCCTGGGCAGAGAGCCATGTCCTTATCCAAAACGCCCGCTGCCGACGCCGCAAAGGAACGCATATTGCACAAACCAGATTCCTTTAAATGTTTTTCATTCTTTACATATTCCATTTAACAGGAAATCTTAAGAGCCAATATTTAAATCAAAAAGAGGTGATTTTTTTACTATTGCATGGAAAGGCCTGCTTGTTTTCAGTCAACAGGGTAAACAATCAAGTTCAAACAAGTTTCCAGTTAAGAAAATAAAAAATAAACAAAGGTTGATATGCATGTCGATTCACAGACATTTTGGGGTTGAACAGTGACAGCATTTATGATGAAAGCCCTGAAGTTGGGTAGAAAAAAAAAAAAAAAAAAAGGAACAAGAGTTAAAGCAGCAACTCACATTTCCATCATGACGACACCGAGGTTCATCTGACCCGATGAACCGTTTCAATCCGATCCTTCAGATCAGGAAAAACAAAACCCGAGAGTTCGGTCAAGTACTTCAACTTCCTGCAAGCTGAAGGAAGTTTTTCTCTTCCATGTACCGTAAAAATATACAATTTACATGATTGAAACAAAAAAACAAAAGGGGATATGAATGGAGAAGCACATTTGTTCATTATGAAAAAAGTATACAATTTACAAATTAAACATTAACAAAAACATTTTACAGACCACAGTTTGGTTTATCGGCGAGCAAGAAAAAAAATTCTTAGCACAAAGTCAAAAACTAACGCCAAGACTTAAAAAAAAAAAAAAAATCTTCTTAAGGAGGAAAAGAAATATAAAAAAGCTTAAGCCACATGTGGCAACAGACTAGTTTTAAAACAAGAGCTGCAGGCTGAGAGGAGGATTACTCCGTCTGATGTGGCTAATCAACAGAGCTGCTTCCACCATCTCAGCATGGAGGCAAAACTGAAACCCATCTTTTAAATGTAGAAGTTGGAGGTGAGCAGAATGCTCCCTATATATGTATTTCTCGTGCCTTCTTTATGTGGATATTAACACTGAGGAATGCTGGAGAATATTAGCTGGAGGCTAAAAACAGCTTTTTTGACTTCGTTTTGCTTCTAAGGGGCTCAGCTAAATGCTACCTGAACTCCTAACAGTAGTCTGCAAACAGAGAGAGTTTGGCTGTGCTCATTAGTTGGACAAATCTTTAAGAACTTTGCAAAAATAAACTGATGACTTGTGGAATCATGATTGTTGCATCACAGTAAATCAGACCACCAAGAAAAAAAAAAGATTACAAAAGATTCCCTGTATGCAGAGTGATAGATTTCAATAGTTTATTCCTGTGCATTTTGACCATAAGGATTAATGCAAATAAAACATGTCGCTTCTCACAGAAAAATAATACTAATAACCAAATAAATTTTTTTTTTTTAATACAGAATGATATCATATGGGCTTCTGGGTCATAAGGGAGACTGACAGCATTATTCCACCCCTCGAAAAAAAAAAAAAAGCAAGTTTGTTGCAGAAATTAGGTAATTGATAAGAGCTGTCTACAAGGATGCTGGGGGGAAACTGAGTGGAAAGGAGAAAAAAAAACAGTCTGGTAGGAAAAGGTGGACACGCAACAAAAGAAACCTTGATGATAAGGGAAGGTGCATTTTAGGGTTTGGACAGCGACTAGAGTCGGTGCTTCAGACAGATGTTTTCAGGACACCTGAGTCATATGACTCATCGACATTAGAGGCATCTAAAGAAAAAAGGAAGCCCCTTGTCTTCTCAAAGGAAAGAAAATCTTTTATTTTATTTAGAAATCAAGGTCCAGGAGTTTTGAGATGGAGGGGAGAGTAAGAGACCTCCCCAGGTCAAAGGTCAGCGCAGAATCTACGGGGAATTGCCGAGACAAAGATGTCAGACTCCAGCGCTACCAATCTAGAATAACTTAAATCGCCTTTAAAGCAAGCTAATAACGCAACAGAAATATTGGGACCGACAGCCCCTGTGTCACATTGAAAAAGAAGCCGCAAGTGTTTTTCCTGTAACCATTTTGTTTTCATAAGCAGGGATAAACATATTTAACAGAAATAAATACTTGAAAACTATTACTCTGATGAATCCTAATTATGTATACACTTTTTTTTTTTCTCCCATTACTGAAAACAGTTAACCACTTACTCATTAGTGACCAGTTCAACCACATGGTGGAAACATTGGGGAAACTACAGCTAAATGTTTTAGGTAGTGCAATGTTGCTACTTCATTGTTGAGTCGCTAAAAGAAAAAGATCAGGTATCTTTTCTCGATCCTGGAGGAGCAGCTGAGGAGCTAGAAGCTAACAGCAAAGTAACAATGGCCTCATATTTGGCTTTATAAAACCGTCTGAATCAAAACAGCATTTTAATGAAGTTTTTGTCCGCCGCTATATTTACTTCCACGTTCAACAATGATCCCAATCAGCTCTTTTCAGTCACTAAGCAATGTTCATATAAAAAGAAAAACAGACTGTATCACATTCCATCTAACAAAATGTCTTTGCACTTAACAACATTCAAAGAAAACATGGCACAGTACAATTTTTTTATTTAGATTTTCATTCATTTTCTGCCTACTTGGAGTCATTTCTTTTGTACTTGAAATATCAAATCATGTCTCACTGTTTTGTTTTTAAATTGTACCGGATTCAACAAAAAAAAAGAAACAACAAAAATGTTTTCCTCTCTAATCTTTCTTTAAAAACTGTATCTATATATAATATCTATATAGTCTTGCTTTGTAACGTTTCTGTAAATTGTGCAAATTCAGCAGTAATACAAGTGGCGAGAGATCAGAGAGTGGGCAGTTGATTACATTTATACAAAAAAGAAAAGAAAAAGAAAAGCGTGACGAATCACATGACCTTCAGAGCCGGTCTCCATTGGCTCTAACAGATTGGTCCACTCTGTTGGTGACGCCATGTTTGGAGTGTCTGAGCTTTTTCCTGATCATCATCAGTGTCATAAGGACATCTTCTTCTAAAATACCCCCAGAAAAAGAAAAACAAAACTCAGGCAAATCACAAACACCAACATCCACGATAATCACACGCTATCGGGGGACTTGTTCTCCATTTGACGCAGGTGTGAAAAATGTCCGGAGTCCGAGTCTCTCACACAGACAAAAGCCCAGATGCTGCGCCGGGGCTGCAGACGAACACAAACATACACATGTAAGCGTACACAGGCCCGCCCATCTCCGCCGAACCCCACCCCAAGTCTGGAGTATACTGCCGCGGTACTTTAGCAGTCCGTGTTTCTGGGGGTTGGACCTTTTTCTGTCTGTTTGTTTGTTTGTTGTCTGAGAGGAGCGAGGGAGACAGAGCAACAGATGGAGGAGAGCAGTGAGGAGAGGGAGCAGGTGGATTGTCCTCAGCTGGCCAGGGCCATTGTGTCGATGACCTGCTCCAGCTTGCTCCTCAGTCTCTGTCTCCTCGCCTGCTCGTCCCGCTCCAAAGCTGACAAGATCTGAAAATAGAAAGGGGAGAAGTCAGCTCATGTTACACAGCATGTGCACATTCTTTCAAAGGATGAATCTGAATTAGATTCTTTAAAGCTAGAGGAAGGAGGAGGAAAACAGCTCATCACCAATCCTTTCCCTATTTAATGATGAGCCATATGTTAAAGAAGGCCTTTAAAACACTAATCTACGCTGTTAAAAACACAAAAGATACAACATTAACTTTCACGGTACAGACAAGATTTGTAGAGGATTACAACCAGGTTACACAAGGATCTGTCACTGGTGATCTCTACTCTACTCCTTTCTACTATGACGCTAAAAATATAACGGTGGCACCTAAAAGCACCAACATACCAAATTAATGCATGATTCGCTAATATTTATAACATCAAGTAGGTTGGAGACTCATTAACTTGTTTTTATTCCACAGTGAACAGTTCAGGTCAACATAAACAGCAGCACAGGAGAGGATCAGTCAAGTATGGCAAGCCAATTAGACATATAATAGCCATTAATGGGAGATTATCATTCAGTCTAGATTTATAAAAAACTATTAAACAAAACAAAAACAAAAACTAAGGTAATCTAATCATTCCCCCCACGTTTGGCATCATGCATACCACTTCTGTATACTAAATAGAAACTTGCACATAGATTTTGTGATGCCTGATATAATCTGATGTTTAAATTAAAAATCAGGCAGTAGTATGCGCTACAGGTTTTCAGCCAGTATTCAAACCGTGCTGAAAGGTGAGATAGTGTTTAACATTTGGGATTTATCCATTTACTGATAGCATTTATTTACAACAATACTATTATTTAATATGCAAATTCTTGGTATATGTAGGATATGCAGCAATGAATCACTTTAGCTGCATTAAGAACCAAGGTGGGTTCAGATACCATTTTTTGCAATAATTAACATGGGATTGATGCAATTTGTATTTCTGTATGTTTTATTAATGAGATCAAATTATGTATTTTACTATAAAGAGAGATGTGATGTTAAAAGAGGAAAAAGAAATGTGATTGCAACCAATGTCATCATCTTAGAAAAGGTTTCTAGAGAAACCATGAGCTCTGACCTCATCTTTGTACTTGACTATATAGGAGTAGATCTCGTGTAGAGCTGACATGCTGTTAAACTGGTTGGCATGCAGCCGGGACTGCTCCGCCAGGTAGGCACTCATGTCCTGGTCACTGATGGCAGGCATCCTGGAGATGTCCGAATAGTACCTGAGCAAACAGTGGCAAGAGTTTACATTCAGAGACGCTGGATATAATCATCAGACGTAGAACCATGAATTCCTACTAACTGACCCACCTTTCAACCCAGTTCTTATAGTTGGGGATGTCTTTAGCGTACAGCAGCTTGTTAGAAGGAGAATCCTTTCCCAGTTTGTGCTCCGATGTTGAACACGAGTCCATGAAAGTCTGAGCCACCACAGACAGGCAGGCATCTGTGATGCTGTTCTTGTGGATGTCAAAGACAAACTGTGGGTTCTTTATTACATTCACCCAGAACCTCAGCGGAAGGCTACAAGGATGGAGAGAAAGAAACAGGATGTAGAGCAAAAAGAAATGAGGCGTTAGAGCTGCATGACGGAGAGGAAGTTAAAGTCACGTCAACATTGTAGCGTTTTGCCTCACCAGTTGCTCTTCCAGGTGTGCCGTACGTCAGGGTCTGTTATTGAGTGTTTGTCCGCCTGCTCATCCAGGAAGTCAAACATGTATTTAATGGCGAGGGGCAAGGCGCTGCCGCGGTGAGCTGTGCTGAAGATGGTTTCAAACAAATCATCCACAAACTTCTGGAGGGTACCCTGAAACCAGAGAACCGACAGCAGGTTACAACATAGTGTATTTGGATAAGTTTGGAATTTAAAACATTTAAAATTCTTGCTAAACACTGGATGGCTGATTGGTACAACTTTTAACAATGCAAACGGGAATAAAGAGTAAAAATATATTTTTCCATGATCTACTTTTTTTCCTAACTTCCTCTTAACATTGAAAACCCTTATTTAAATGTGCACACAATACAGCAAATTTTTATATAAAATCCCCAGACGGGAGAGTTCGTCTAAGTGGGTCTATGTGGTTATATTTAATTAAATGACTTAAAGAATTAATAAGTCATTATATTCCAAAACAAGCATCCCAGTTTAACCAGTTGTGTTGCAGCTAGATGTGCTTGCACCATCTAGCTGCAGGCGAAACCCGTCAGCAGAAGGGTTTTCAGAATGACAGTGCTTTGCTTTCAGTGCTCCAGTTTCCTGGGAGTTAGTGATGATGCAGAGTGCTCAGTAGTCTTTACTGTATCTAGGAAGAGGCTCAATGGGAGTTCAGCCTAAGGCTCCTCTACCATGTTTTTTTTCTAACCTCATAACATAACCTCAGGAGGGTTAAGAATCCTTACAAAGTTCTCTGAAGTTAAAATGATTTTAGATTTCCCATAAGCCCTCCCTTCAAGCAGCCAGACCACCTTCTGCAAAACTTTATTTAAACCAGCCGAAAAATTCAAGTTGCAGTTTTGTCCTCTCTAACATGAACAAATCTGCTTCCTAAACACACAATGCTGTAGGGGATGCAATGTGTAGAGGCTCACTGCAGCGCTGTATGTTCCTTTCCTATTGTCTTCCTCTGGCCTGCATGTTAATCTTTTCCTCATTGAGGGTTTATTGCTGCAGCTAACCATGCAGTTTTTACCTGGAGCTGAAACAAGGGATATCTGAGGCTAATGAGCAGATCTTGTCACTGCTTTCATTGCTTGAATTCTGTTTGTGCATTTTATATTTTTATGCAGTTTTTTTATCATCTGTTAAAGAAGCAGAGACCAACAGAAATCTGTCAGGATTTGGGAAAAATGATCGTACAAGACCTGAACATTGGAGTTATTTTATTTTTACTTCTCTCACGGCTCCAAGAGTTAAGTTTAAGCAGAATTTTATTTAAGTACAAAAGCTAATTGGGTTTTCCTGAATTAGAAAAAAAAACAAAGAATGATGTTATTTCTCTTTAAGCATAACTAAATGGGTTAGTTAAGAGTAATCAGTATCTTACTCAAAGCAGACAGCATTCACTTATCTTTATTAGACAATCAGAAACAAATCCTTAGAGTTGAGTTTAGATCAACCTGATTGGAGAACAAGTTTGTTCAATCTTAAACTGCTCAAGCAAGAAAAGTTCTTCCTACTTTAAATTAATTTATCAATGCCAGTTTTCTATTTACTGTGACTAATATTTGTGATGCTATATGAATATTTAGGAAGTCGTTAAACGATTCTGCCACTAAGAATAATTTTTCACACCCACATGTTGGACTAAAGGTACCCAAAAAAAAAAAAGTTCCAACGAATTTGTTGGCTCAGATTTTTAGATTTTTCTAAAATCTTAAACAATCTAAGCTCAAATCACTGAGCAGGGAGATACGGTTTGTCCCAATAGCTGTTGTTTTGTTTATAAAAAGTACAATAAAACTGTACTTTTTATGTTTTGTCTAGCATCTGATTTCCATATAAATTAAAGCCGTAATCTCTAAGGGACAACAGAACACAAAAAGCAGCAAAATGATTATTATTTTATTATTTTAATAGTCTGCACTTATCTGTGGTTTCTGTCCGAAGCTCAAACTCCTTACTCAATAGCTTTGCTTTTGCCAGACTGTATCTACTGTAGGAAACAACTTCTTTGATCACATCAATTTGTTTTTCAAAACACTAATTCCTTTAGAGCAGGGGTCTTCAACGTTTTCAGGGCCAAGGACCCCCAAACTTATGGCGAGATGGAGCGGGGACCCCCTAATTATATATATTGTATGAAATTGAGTTACATCCTACCCTACAGTCACTCTATTACAGATAGAGTAATGTAACGAAAGTCATTTCTTCTTGGGATTATTAAAGTATTTCTGATTCTGGTTCCTTGTTGATGGGACAGGTGTTGTGAATGAAACAGTGCCCAGCTTTAAAGAGCTCCTGTGTGTCATTGAATGTGTGCATTGATGACTGAAAGACATCTCCTGCCTCCATTTATCTGTTTACTAAAGTGTGTTGAATTCATGTTAATGTGGATTTAAAGACATTTCAATTAGTGAAAAAAATTGCAGGGGGAATATTAAAAAAAGTCTAATCAACCAAAACTTTCACAACCCCCATGCAGTACCTCTGTGGACACCCTGTTGAAGACTCTGCTGTAGAGAGTGAGAATTGTAATAAAGTCTGAAAAGGAAAAGATTTGTTCCTTTTTCCATTTCATTATTTCCACATAAACTCACTTCCGCAGTTCTCAGATGGCATAGAAGCTCTGATCAAGAATTGTCACTTTTAAGCAGGTTTATTTGTTTCAGCGAAGACATTCAGAGTTGATAACGCACTTCAGAGGTCGTGTCACATGCAGTCAGTGGAGCAGGAAGGCTGTTATTCAGTTCAGAGTACAGCAGAGAATAAAATACGTTCTCCAACTCCTACAACAGCTCTGCTCTCGGGAGCTGAAACTTAAAAAGGGAGTTCATGCTTACTGCTATCTGCTGCAGGTAAGATACTGTTTGTTCATACATTTTTCATGTTGGCGTATTCCCCACATTCCTAAGCGTGGCTTCAAGAATGCAGCTCTAGTGTAAAAACCTTTTGAGTGGAAAGAAAAAGGCAGGATAAGCCAATTTCCACAAAAAATAGATTTAATTATTCTGTTATAGCCCTAATAGAGAAATCAGGAAGAGATAAATATTTGTAGCAAGTTTTAAGAGCTTGATTAAATACATGCTGCATTCCATTTGTTCTTAGAGGTTGGAATTTATGAACTCAAGAGGAACATTTCAACTGACTAGAAAGTGAGCATTACGAGACGGAGCGATTCATTTAATCAACAGTAGAAAAACTTCTCACTTTGTGTTTAGCAGTTCATGATGATTCAGTCTGTCTTACACAAACTTCTCTTCAGGGTTTAGGGTGTATTCACACCAGAAAAGCGCTCTAGTCTGCTTGTTTGGTCCGTAAAAGAAGCAGACCTTATTCGTTTTATTTTGTCAGATTTGTTTTTCAAATTTTTACTTTTTCCAAGTGAACCTTAACTCACAGTAAAGCTGCAATTGATCAGAAATGACCAGGCTAGAGCGCTGACCAGGAAATGGTGGGAAACTACATGAGTCCTGCATGCAGCGTCTCTGGTTTGCATATTCAAGCTATTATTTTAGCTACAGAATCATTGAGCTCCTCTAAAGTTGCAGATTGTGTAACTTTTTTATTTTTTCAATTGTCGGAGAATGTTCCTACAAACAAAGGAAGTAAGCTAAGTAACAGAACGAGTATGATTAAGATACTACGGTGGCTTGCTAAGTCCAAAAACCCATACCCTTTTTTGCATTTGGGTTGGAATGAGGTTGGTGTGTATTCAAACCTGAAGCCAGAGTCCATTTGCAGTGAACTAAGACCTCCTCAAAGAGCGGTTCTTGGTCCGAACCAAGCAAGGAAACAAACTGGTTTGTCCAAAGTAAGCCAAATGTGGCAGGTATAAATAAATACACCCTAGGTTTGGGTTTTAATGTCGTTTATATGCATAGATTACCAAATAGAAATTTTTTTTGTGATGGTCATGATTGTAACAGCAGCAAAATACAAAATAACTGAGAATGTAAGCAACCATAAGATGGAAACTGGAAAGCTATCGCCTCCGAGATCATGTTAGTCTGATTTTTTGTAATGGAACGCAGACTCAGTCGTAAAATTATGGCGTGTCTCTCTACCTCAGCCTTCCCCTTAATGCAAAGTTTTGCTTTTTGTTGTTTTTCCACAACTGTTTAATTTGTTGCCTATAAACCCAGTTGGAAAGCAGATCCTCAGGTTTTCTTTAAGAACCGCTGCTCATTAAACACCGTTGATAAAAGTCTGTACTCATTAATCTATCTGATCTTGTGATTATGATGTTTTTACAGCTAACAGCTGTCAAATATCCTAGAATATAAAACAGATCCTGGGATTCGTCTTTTACAAATAAGGTCACACTAAACCAGAGAATCACAGGCAGAGTAAAAACTAAAGGTTCTCATTCTGTGTGGGTGTGTATGTGGTGCGGTGTGGCGAAAAGTGATGGTGCAGACCTGAATCTAAAAGCCCAGGGGCCGCCAACAGAGGGCCCAGAACAGCAAAGCTAACAACTCAATAGTCAAAGGTCAACCTCCTAATTAAGACCGTACATATGTGTCTTTGTGGAAAAGGTTATGAAAAATGTTAATGAGCTTTGAGACCACTGGCAAACAAAGGTCAACAGAGACTGCAGGTTTTAAGCGGACTACATGACATGGTTCGTGTTGAAGGGGGGGATGTGTTTCTTGTTACCTTAGTGGCGAGCAGTCTGGTCAGGTAGATCTCTGAGACCATCTTGCTCCCCCGGTCCCCCTCCCTTTGGTCTGAGTGGTCGTGGTTCTTTACTAGATGCCACAGCTTGGTGCCGCTCTCCAGATCAGGGGTGATCATGGGTGTTCGGGAGCGCAAGCTGTCTGGGCTGCTGGCTGTCCTCAGCATGCTCTCTGGAGACGGTTGATAAAGGCCGGGTTAAGGCGCAGCAAGATACAGGAGGGAAGAGGAGAGAAAGGATTTGTTAAGAATTAAACTCATAAAGGAAAGCTTGTGTATCTCATAAGATAATGTGTAGAAAACAGCGCCCTCTGCAGGAGAGGGTAAGAATCCTAATTACTGACCTAAATGACCTTTTTCACATGTTGTCACTTTACAATAAACTGCAATGCAATACATTGGGATCACACGTTACCATCCAACACAAATATGTGCATAATTAAGAAGTGGATTAAAATGTTCGCTTTTGGTGTTAATTTATATTCAGCCCCCCCTCTGCCTATGCTTTGACGAGCTGCCTTTCCCTGACAATGACAGCTTCAAGTGTTTGGGGAAATGGCTCCATCAGCTTTGCACACATAGCAGCTAAACTTAGCAAAACAGCTCAAGTTTATTCAGTTTTCAAGTCTTGTAAGTTTTGTATTAAGGGCACAAAACTCCATTTTCATCTCATAAGATGATATATTATCTAATTGATTTGTTTTCTACATGGCGTCGTCCTGTCAAACTTTGCATACTGTTTTTATGGAGTGCACAAATAATCTTTTTATCCTTCTCCTTCCATGTCAAAAACACTACTTAATATCACTGCAGAAAAGCTACAACTGTGGCTGTAAAGTGACATTATGTGAAGGTACATGACCTTATATTGTTTAATTCTATGAGCGTACACGTCTCTGCTTTGTAATCAGGTACGGTCCTGATTTAAGCACAGATTTCAACAGGAGGAGAATAAAATAAATAAAAGGCCTGAGGAAGCTGCAAACAGAAACCCTTCCTGGGAAGTTAAAAGCTTTTTGAAAGGTGACAGCTGTGTCACTCTTTCAGTCCTGAATAAAAATGTCTGTCATTCTCCACCCCTCTTCTATTTATGGCACAGAGATCCCATATTTGTGACAGAGCATTATGCCTTCACTTTGAATGCCTGTCACTTGTGTGACAAAGCAGGAAAGGATTGAGAGGTTGGAAATGTCAGCATGTGGACCGTGGATGTGCAGAGGAAAGGTGACGGGGTTTGTGTGAGTAGATATTTACAGCAACCTTTCAGAAAGGTTATATTAGAACAAACTAGTTAAACAGGTGAAATAAAATGCACTTCTGCAAAATCGTGAAAAAAGCTTCTTCTATTTGCACAATTTCATCTAAAACAATATATGCAAAACATTTTCTGTTGAGTTTTTTGTGACAACCAATATTTGTCTAGAAGGCTCCACCAAAGGAAACAAACATCATCTCGTAAGTAGAGGTGCGGTTTAAACGTACAACACAGTTTACACAAACGACAGTGACAAGTTGACAATGTTGACAAGTTGCCCCGCCCATCCCCTATACACACACACACACACATACACACAGAACACACACACACACCTTCTCTCGTACCATATCTGCTGAGGGACTTGGTGAACGTGGAGGAGTTGGAGATGTTGTAGGCCGAGTTCTGTTTGGGCACCAGGGCGATCACTGAGCCATCCGTCACCTGCAACAGGATTTCTAAGATTAGTTTTACAGCAGAAAGTCCACCAATCATTTCACCACGCTGCTTTTAGCCACCCAAAATGTTTGCTGGTATTTGTTTTGCCAGATTTAAGGGACTTTAATCGATCACCATCCTGACCTGATTTTGGTTCTGCTACTTTTTCCTGATTTTTCTCTCATTTTTTTGGCCATAATAGAAAACTGAACAAACGGAGGAAATAAAAATAAGCAACTAGTAAATATTTGGTGTTCACTTTGACTACGAAAGATAAGACCTAATGAGAAACCAGACAAAAAGTAAACAGCAGCACTGTCCATTTTCCACATTTTGTCCTGCACTGCCGGTCAGCTGATTGAACAAAGGTGAATACTATACTTCTTCCTCTCTGGTGGAAAACAAACTAACAGGAAGAAGTTATTAATTAAACATGCATATACAGAATCCCAGTACAGTGTCCCGTTTTAGAAAAGGGTCACATTTTACACAACTAAATGTAAGCTATCAGTAAACTTATTAGTTCCTATTCTGTTTTTTTCTATCTGAAGTTTGTCTAAACAGTCCAAAGATAAATTATTGTTGCAGGAGGTCTGTTCTAAATGAAATAATTTTGATCATAATACTGATTTATCATTAAACCCTTCTGTAAATGATAAAACTAGTATTTAAGCTTAAATAAATATGTCCAAATATGTTTTTGTCGCTGTTTATTTGCAAACTTAAAACATTTTTTTTCTTTAGGTTCAAAGGAAAATGCAATTAAAAAGACCATAAATAAAGTGTGATTTAGGGTAGAAATCTATAAATAAATTAGGAATGTTCCAAGTCTTTTGAACTCTACTGCGTCTGAAATACACTAATTATTTCTTTTAGATTAAACACATCATTCAGTTATTAGTTATTAGTTACTTTGACTATGAAAGGTAAGACCTAATGAGAAACCAGACAATATATATAGAGGAAGCAGCTCTAACTGTGGTGAATATATCCAGCTGGGTACCTGGTAGTGAGCTAGAGTGTTGAGTCTCTTCCAGTCGTTATCGATCTTTGTGGTGACGTCCTCGTCCTGAAGGATGATCCGTGCCATCCTGCCCTGCCGCCACTCTGTCAGACACCAGAAAATGCATCCAAGGAATCAAACACATGGGCGAGGCCATGTTTGCAACAAGTTACCACTAACAAAAAGCAGCAACCCTGCACAGGATGGTTAATAAATATCCTTTCAGATGAATTCTCCTTTTCTAAAGGGAACCCTCTGGCTTCAGAGAGCCCTTCAAATAATGATTCCCTCTCTACCCCCCCTGCTGCACATCTTTGTCAAGCGTGTTAACTTGAAGTGTTTTGCCACATTTTACTCCACCGAAGTCCTCACCAAGATCCATATCTGAGGCTTTTGGTCTCTGGGAGTAGGGGGTCCCCTTGTACACAGCGTCCAGCAGTTTTTCCTTCACCTGAGTCACTGTGTCACAGTTAAGGGTCTTAACTGTCACTTCGGGGGCATTTTCGTTCTCTGGATTCACACAGTGCAGCGTCTAAAAGGAAAAAGAGAGGAGGGATTATATGTAAACCAGGAAGTGAAAACAGCAGGAATGGATTCAAAAAACAGTTGTTAAGACTAGTGCAAATGTATCTGCATCAGGCTAAAAAGTGCATCCACTGACCAAAGTTTTGTAGTCAATTTGTTGTCTGATGAGTTTATCCTCGCTGAGAGAATAGCGGGCTTCTCCTGTGATTGCATCTATGGGACCTTTTTCCATTTGCTGCTTCATGGCGCAGTACAGCATGAAGAGAGGCTCACCAGCACATTCCTGAGGAAAGGAAACAAAGAACCAAATGTAACCTCTACATGATTGGGGCCTATCGCAATGATTAAACTTCAAAAAACTATTATCAGTGTCAACATTTTCTAAAAGTGCAGAATTTATTCTTGTTGTAAGCAAAAAAAATCATGATTATGACAATACTTTAATTTGCACAATCAGGGGAAAACCTAAATATGGAAAATTCAGCCCTTATTTTAGTAACATATCTGATTTTAATAGCATAAATGATTACCTCCCTGTTCATTAATGCAAAACCACACTTAGTATAAATATATGTTAAACCTTGTTAAAGTATAAACCTTTGATTTACTTGCACAATCATTTAGTTCTACTTGTATTATTGAAATAGAAAGAAAAACCTGACATGCAATTTCAGCTACTCTAATGAAAACAAATCAAACCAGTAATTACAGGGATTAAAAAACGACAACAACACACAACTAACATATAAACAGCCCAATTCAGCCTTGTCAGGGAGTGTTGGTTTGGTTTGGATGTTTTTTGGTGATTGTATTCCTCAACTTGCAGACAACATTTAAGTGAAAATCTAAGTTTCTCAGCTGAGGGTTATAAAGACGTTTCTTTACGCGTTTCAATCCAAGTTTCCAATATAAGTAAAAGTCAACAGCGATATGACTTTTTTTGTATTTAATTTGAGCTGCTTGTCTTTAGTGTCCTGTATGCTTCCATTTGGCTGCCAAACTACTGTTTACCCAATTAATTGTGTGTATTGAGGGCAGAGATGGGAAGTAACGAATTACAAATACTTCATTACTGTACTCAAGTAGATTTTTCTGATATTTTTACTTTACTTTACTACTTATTTTTATGGCGACTTTTTACTTCTACTCCTTACATTTTTACACAAATATCTGTACTTTCTACTCCTTACATTTTAAAAAATTGGCTCGTTACTTTAGTTTTGAATCATTTCAATGGAGTTACCGTTATTATTTTTTACGTCATCAATACCAAATTCAATCTAATTGGATGGGAATCTACGTTGCATTTGACGCACCACTACAAGATGAATCGACAGATTCGGAGGTATTCATATGCGGCAAATCATTGCAGCTTGGTGGCGGTGGCGTTAGCATAGTAGCATGGACGACGAGATGATTGAAAATGAAAACAACAGAGATCTAGTCCTATTGGCAGACATCCATTTAAAATGTAGGCAACGGCATGAAAAAAGTGGTTTCTACTTTTACTTTTATACTTTAAGTACATTTACAACCCTGTACTTTGTTACTTTTACTTGAGTAAAGAAGTTAATCAGTACTTCCACTTTTACCAGAGTATTTTTTAACACAAGTATCTGTACTTTTACTCAAGTACGGAAAGTGAGTACTTTTGCCATCTCTGATTGAGGGACAGAAATAAATCAGCCTTTTAAACAAACATGGATCTGCATAGATATATTCCATGCAGATTTAACCTATTTAGCAACAGCCTTGTCAAATGTCTGTATTTCTATTAATATTCCATGATATTCTAGTTGGCAATCAACAACACCACCAGGTTGCTGCAGGTTCCTAACCTTTTTTCTGCTGTAGTTTAGAACTCTGTTCTGCTCAAACATTTTTTATTTTTAGCACTGTTGTTAGCCACATTAGCCTCTGATGTTTTTAGATATAAATTCAATGTTATTGATCTCACATTAGGGAAATTCACCTCTGCATTTAACCCATCCCCTTGGGGAGCAGTGGGCTGCCATTGTGCGGTGCCCGGGAAGCAATCGGGAGTTAAGGGTCTTTGCTCAGGAACCCAGAGTTCAAGCTGTGGGGGTCGAACTGGGTTTTTGCAACCTTCTCAGAGCACAAGCGCACTGCTCTAACCAATAGGCCAACAGTCCCCCATACAGGAGCACATCTACACCATGAACATTAACTAAAACTGCTGTGTTTACTTCCTACAATTTTTAGCAGGCGACTGACCCTAATTGATGACTTACTGCGTTAATTGTTCTTACTAGAGTCAAATAAGACAGAAGTGGCTGCATCACTCAGTAAAGCTATATTTAAAAAGTTAATATTATCTCATGTCACTGATTTATAACTCCACCTTTGTAGATACAAGAGCTTTTTAAGTTGGTCTCAAATATCAGTGTTGTAGCGTCAACCTGCAGCATTAACGCAACTAGCATGTGGCATGGTTTGTCATTAAATTCCTTTTCTAATTTTGCCTTTTAAGGAATGTACCTTCTAACAATGTTATACTATTTGCCTGATCGCCTAAAGAGGGTCTCAAAATATTATATATGTATATATATTAAATTTTTTGGTTGTACTCTACATGATAGCAGAGTTTAAACCAACAGCTGCTTATTGTTTTGGTCTGATGAGCGGCTGTAGTGAGAGGAGGGGCTTAAGTTGCAGAGCCACTGCAGCTGAAGGAAGTGCAACATTTTGCATAGTCTGAGTAGATTAGTGTGCAACAATATATTATGCAATGAATAGTACTCCTACAGCATCCTATTGATATAAAAATGATGAATGCCACTTTTTAAAAACCTGGCAGAAACACTGACAAATCATTTTGCTGAGTGATCAACTAATTATATTTTTAATCTTCTCTGAGTGACGCTGAGGCAGTGAGGAGAGGACAAGGCCATGGCCTGTGTTGGCAAAGTGCACAGAACAGACAGAACAACTCTCCCCCGAGTCTCCTCTCTCAGGGAAAAAAACATGCAGTGAAAATCTCTATTTGTGTGTGAGGGAGGGAATGAATGAGTAGGGAGGAGGAAAAGAATCAAAGAAAGTGCGAGTGAGACTGAGTGGCAATTGATGGAGGAGTTAATAGAAGGTTAATGACTGAGGGCTGGAAAGCGCTTGGAGAAGCACTTTGCTGTGTGAGACGTGTCAGCCAGGCAACAAGCGCTGGGATGTTGGGGACCCCTGTCTGTCTCTCCTTCTCCCTCTGCTCAGTTTCCCTCCTTTTCATCCAGCTGTTTAGCTGACCCTGCCGGGTAAGAACTGCCTGCTACACAACTTCTTAAAGTCAGTAACTATTTCTTGCAACGTTAGCTATCTTTATATCATATATAATAATAGTACACAGTGAGTGAGGCAGGATTATAACCACTTCAGGCATCCATTTTAATCTAACATACAGCTTCATTTAAAATCTACAGACACCCTGAAAAAAAACCCCACACCAATCAGTTCAGCTTCTTTCGTCTAAAATAACAGACATTGGGATGTTTAGAGGTTAGATCATATTAAACACATCATTTTTGGCAGAAATGATCACTAAAATCAATTAAAGTCAAATGAAGCTACCTACATAGAGACATATTAACCTATTTACAGATCTTCTTTGTATGATTATCAGTCGAAATCAATTTTCAAACCAGAAGTCATTACAACAAATGGAGTTATATGCCTCGAGGCAATTGTCCCTAGAGAGCCTTTGCAAAGGCAGTCATTTTCATAAATGTCAGTCTGTCATGCTACAACTATAAACCCCAAAGTATTTTATTGGTCTTTTGTGAAAAATCAACAAAGGAAAAGAGAATTATTGTGAAGAGGTTTCAGAAATGTTTAACATGCATATGATCTTCAGTGTGGAGTGTTATGTAGGAGTTCTCTCCAGGTACTCAGGCTTCCCTCCACTATTAGATTAGTTGGCCAATTGTATATTGAGGTTCTTTGTGTGTTTATGTGATAGAGAACAAACCATCTTTGCCTTAGTGGATCGGAGAGATACGCATAAGTGTTTGAGTTATCAGTTACCTCTGCTAGTTGGGAAACAAATGAAGCTGCTACTGCTGCCGTGATTGGCTAACAACTCGACATGGGAGGCAGGTACCTAATCAGCTCGAAGAAATTTACTAAATGTCCTTCCCTTTTGCGAATAGGTGCAGTTCAATTTGAATTCTACACAGTATCAATCCTGTTATGTCAGGTTAAAATGAATCACCTAAAATAGCAAAACAGCAAATAAGTAATGCACAGAATGTTGAAGGGACTGGTATGACAAACATGTACGAAATATCATTATACACAATAATACTGCAGATTCTATTGTAGTAATTGGCTTATTAGATAAAAGCCATACATTGAGATGCTTTATGCCAGTAATATCTTTGGTGATATTTAATGTGGCAGATAATTTGAGAAGTCTATTAATATGTCAATGTAGAGACATCAAGTAAAACAATCCAAAAAACAAATCTGCAGAAAAGACGATTGAAAACGACTGCAGGCCCAGTTTCTCCATTCTATGCTCTGCATTGTCCAACTAGGCAGGCTCCTCCATTAACAGGAGTCGGCCATGTTGGCGAGCTGGAAGCTGAACTCTGTGGGATCATCCAGCTCTGCTTGCCTCCTACGGTGGAAACACAGCACACCGGCAGACGTCCTCTCTTCCTAACAGCAAACAAATCTCAGCCCTTCTGTCTCCTTCAAATGGTGCCAGAGAACATGGACAGCTCTGACTCTGCTCTGGCTTTACCGCTTCCTCTGCATTGTTGGGATGTTTTCTCTTTATAAGAAAACAAAACCAATTTTATGCAATCATCTGTTATTTTACCAAAAGCAACAAGCAGAAATATCAGGTTGAGAAATAGAGGAAGGACATGAGGTTGCCGACCCTCCCATACAGGCCAGGGAAAAGAGGATAGGTGAACTTTAAGAACCGGGTAATGGAAGGAAGATTTCTTTTTTTCTTCTTCTCCAGCTTCCCTTTTGTAGATAAAAGCTCCATCTCGTCTGCCCCTCTGAAACACTACTTGACCTTTACCCATCTCTGTTCACACCTGACTGAATCTTGAAATTGTTCTGGGCCTTTCTCTTCTTTGACCCTTGAAAACTCAGGAGAAAGCCAAGTTGCAAAGGTTGGATAAAAGCTGTCGTGTTTTCTCCATTCCAATTTCCGTCCTCCACCTCCCGTGTGTTTCTATTATTTCTTAACAGCTTCTAAAACCTTTCCCCAATAATTTCCAGCCTTCCTTTACTTTCTCAAAACAATTTTCCCACCTTTTTTCTCTCCGTCATTTTGGGACGGTCTAAAGTTCATAAACACAGCTGTTGAATAAATCCCGAACAGCTTCTCTCATAACCCACTCTCCTTCCACTGAACTCCGCTCCGGCTGTCCATTCTCGCATTTGAAGCCAAATCACACACGCATGCACGCGAGATCCAAAGCTGACACACTCTCATACACAGATGCTAACTGGGACCCCCTCGGGGCCTGGCCGGCTTGCTGTCCAGCAGGCTGGCTGTCCTGACAGGGTGTTTAAGCCCCACTGCTAACTGATTAGCTCCAGAAGCAGCTGAATGGAGGCAGTGCATGAAAAGCGACATGAATTTAGCAGAATTAAGTGACTCCATCTCAAAAGAAATCAGATTTACAGAAAAGACAAAAAAATAGATGATTTTAAGTCCTGAGAGAGAACATAGTTACAGTGATCCCATCATCACAGCCTGTATCTGAATAAGGGCTTCAGTACCTGCTGATTCCATGAGTAAAGAGACAAGCTTTTCAATAAAAACGGCAAAGCTGTATTTTTGCTGTCTTATTCAGTACTGCACTGTGCATGTGTGTTAGTGCGTACAGGAGCTGCTACTGCTCCACCAGCTCTGAGTGTGTGCATCCTCATGATAGTTTTACCTTGAGGAACTTGTACAGCAGGAAGGTGAACCAGTTGGTGAGCATCTTCTCAGCTACAGACTCCGTCCTGGAAGAGAAGGAAACAAGGTTATGATCGGTCGGAGTGCGAGCAGAATAATGCAAAGGAAATAAGACAAACAACACTTTTAGACTTTTGCACACGTCTTCAGCTCATACTGGTGGTTTTCAGTAAATTAGAAAGTCTTTCAGGAGGTGATATTTTACAATTCATTTCAAAAGGTAAAACATTCATCATAGACCTGTTATGCATAAAATGATGTGTTTGTAGCGTTTATTTCTGTTATCCCCGTAGCTTACAGCTGGTTAAAGCCCAAACTTCTATTTTCCTAGAAACTAAAGAACAATAAATGCAGAAATTTTAGGCCATTGTAAAACAAATCCATACACTGAAAATACCCGTTCAGGCCTCCTTTTGCATGAGTTACTTCAATGCAGAGCTGCACAGAGGGGTCAGCATGCAGCTCTGCTGAGGTGTTCAGGCAGCTCTGGTTGCTCTAACAGTGACCTTCTGCTCATCATCGTGGCTCTGGAGCCTCAGCCTCTTAATAAGGCGTCATAGATTCTGCATTCATTTCAAATCCAGACAGTTTTTTTTAGCCAATCAAGACAATAAAACCATGATGATTATAGCAGACAATGGAGTGTTAAATAAAGGCAAAATACCTTTCATTTTGTGCCAGGTTAGAAACTGATTTCACACAAGGATTGTAGGAGTGGCAGCTTTTCAATCCTCTTAAAACTGCAGCTATCCCTACTGTTGCTCCACCTTTTCCTCCAGTTCTTCCATTCAGTTTTCCAATAATAGGCCTAAATCAGCAGACTTCTTTAGCACAGATCTTCTGTGGTTCACCATTATTGTGGAGGGTATCAGTAAATGTCAGGACAGAGGTTTCCCCTACGGCTGTACAGGCTAAAAGATGCTCATAACCCAACAGTCCTGAACCACATGGTTCTATTTCTCTTAAATAGTGTCTTAATTCTTACAGTAAGCCAATGAAAAAACAACTTGCATGTTTTTTAACATGTGCATGTAGCCCAAATCTGTTACTGCAGAATAACACTTTGATCCGATAAAACAGGACATCATCAGTCCTATTGCTGTTAACCTCTGTTCTCCTTTAAAACCCAGACCGCATTGTTAAACAAATTCCAGCACTTGATTCATTGTTTAAGATCCATCTTGCTTTTCTTTAGCTTCAAGCAAACCCACTTATAAAAACAACAATTAGTATAATTCAATCAGCTCTGTTGTTAATGGTGAATTTGCAACACTATGAGGGGAACATCTGCTGGTTTCCTTCTAAACAGAAGCCTCCGCTAAAGGAAAAAAGCAATTAAAGGGATTGTATTTAGCGACTCTGTTGTTTTTAAGTTTGTAAGCACGAAATCCGCTTAAACATATCCAGGTTTTCTTCTTTTAGAAAATAGGGTAAACAACCCTCTGATGTAGGTCAGCGAGTCAACCCAGGGTTACCGACTCAGGACTTGTAAAGTCCTGAGTCATGTAAAGCGAGCAGAGTTGACCAATTTCAAAGACGGTTCAAAAAGGAGATGCAAAAGACGTAAAACTACGGGTTATTATTAATCTAGAAGTCATAATATTAACGCATGTAAATGTTAGTGTATTTAATACAGTGCATGACAAAATGTTACCTCTTCTCACATTTATTAATTAGGCAGTTCTTCAAAACTCAGAAAACCTTAAAGCATTGCATTTAGAAACAGGTTTTACATTTGAAACAAAAAATGTGTATACTGTTGATTTGATGGAAAAGCATCAATTAATGTCCAGATTATTTGGCAGTTTGGAAGATGATCAGCGAAGATACACTTTAGGATCAGGATTTTTGTCAGAGATCAGAGATTATGAACTTTCATTTCTGACAGGAACAGACTTGCGGGTAATTAGACTATTTATTGGATATACAAATTATCAATTCTGCTAAGATCTCAGGTTAAAAAAAGTTGAATCCAGATGGAGAGCAGAAAGACCTGTTTATACACTAATCTTTAAGGCCAATGATTGGTTGAGAAGTGCTGCTTTCTGCATCAGAATGACACTAATGCTTCTTCGAAGAACAGAAATAGTACAAATTTATAAACGTAAATCCTAAAGGAGAGCTTTTTTTATAAAGTACCTTCTTTGTCTCTTAGCAGTTTGGATGTGGATGAAATGATGGAGAGTTGTCCAACCTGTCAATCAATTTAGTGGTGACTGACAGGTTCCACTGCTATGTTTTAACACATTTCTATCCTTTTTTTCATTATATTTTTATCCAATATCTAATCATCCCACCAGAGATGGGGGCTCTGGAGTCGACAAGTCATCTCTATGTCATGTATTTGTTCTGGCCAGCGCTGAACCAGGTGAGTCCAATCATGTTTAACCTGTGCAGATTAGGCCCACCTGGTTCATTGGCTGGGCAGAGCAAATCCATGACATAGACGTTAAAGGAAAGCTCTGTGTTTACACATTGAAGCTTTCTCTCTCTGGTTTGTTTTCCTCAAAAGATATCACTCGGGACAAACTCTTTAAATAATACTTCATAACGTATATGTATTAAATAACCAGGAGACATGACAACAGATTTTGATAGAAATTATAATCTTACTCAGATCAGAGAAGTTGCTTAGGGTTACAAGGGTTACCAACCGGCTCACTTCTCAGGAAGTGGCTTTGACCAACAAGTAGAGAAGCATTTTATACTTCAGTCTGCCACATCATCGCATCATTACATCATAAACGTTTGCAGATGAGGGGACATCCATGGCTCCAGCCTTATCAAAATATTACACTTTGTTATTAGATCAAAGACACTGCTTTCATTCCCAATCTTTGCCACGTACAGAATGAAGATTTTAACCGTATATACTGAGGAACTGCGCTAATTAGATAAACTTAGGGGGAAAACATCAGTTCTTACACGCAACAGGCAGGTAATATTAGGGTGTAATGAACTCACACATCAATGATAATTATCCTAACATGGGGGTGACTTGTTGACTCCAGATCTCCCATCTCTGCATCCAACAATTGTACATTTAATCCTTGATAATATTTAGCCTTAAAAAAGATTACATTTCCTGGCCAAGCTTCCACTAAAATTCAAAGAATTTCATGATAACTGGACACGAAAATAAAAAGAAAAAAAACACAGTGGTGAAAAGTAGGCCAGTATTGGAGGGAAAACAGTGTAAGCCTATTGTGAAAGCAGGAGATGAACTTCTGCACTTTTGTAAGCCTCCTGCTTGGACTGCTAAGTGTTGTTTGATGTATATCATTCCTTTTTTTTTTCTCTATCAAAAACGCTCTGAGAGAAAGTAGGTGCAACAGGAAATAAAGAACTTGGCATGAAAGGACAGTGAACAGAGAAACTTTGCTACTATACTTTCATAATAGGAAGCTCGTTCATTAAAAAATTTGGTTGATGGATTTTAAAGAAGGAAGTGGGTGATGCTCTCCTGGTTATAAGCATGGAGGTCTAAACTTTGATGACATCAAATTAAATGTATCGAAAGCAAACACATTATTTCATAAAACCTGCATGTATATAAATTAAAACTTGCATATCTGATGTAAGATGTAAAGATCTAAACAGGCTTAATGAGCCCTGTTGCTAATGCCTCCTTGGTTAGCAGAGACGGCGTGTTGTGACTATACTCCCCGGGAGCAGCCCGGAAAAAGGCTTCATACAGACTCAGTGTCATTTCTTAATCAGATGTTTAATTAAATATCTTCCGAGGAGTGAATTAAGTGAGGAGAAAAGTAGCTTTCTATCATGAAATGTGTAATTTCAATTTATTTGGGGACAGACCATCTCTTTAATTGTGTCTTTCCTTAAGTATGTGCATCTTTTTAATGACTGATCTGTTGCAGCTTCCCTTTTCTTCCCCACTTTTCTCGCCACCCTCCCCATATTAGACGGCTCCTCTGTGCAGCTTCTTCCCCATCTCACCCTATATGTTTCTCCCCCATCAATTTCCCTCAAGCTTCAACCTCCCTGTAGACACTTTTCCTTCTGCTTCTGTCAATCACCACCTCCATGCATCCCTGGAGCTGCATCCACCTTTCTACCTCTTTCACCCTCTTCTCTCAGTTCTTCACACCTGCTCCGTTCCTCATACTTCCTTCCCTTGCTATGTGTCTCACTGTGAGTGCAAGAGAGGGGATACGGCGTTGCGTCTTGCCGCAGCTCCGGTGGGAGTGCATGTCTGTTCGGGGGTGTAATCCTCTCTGACAGGGACAGGTCCGACGGATAGAGACAAGGGTTAGTCACAAACGCCTCAGAAGCCACAGCCACTGTCCCTTGCATTCACCTCTTTTAGCACAGGCCACCAGGACTGGGAGAGGACTGGTTTGACAGTCTCACTGCCAACTATCATCTATTTCTGACAGAAATCATCTGATTTTATCCACCTAAAAATGCTCTAACATTGTACTCAATATGTTTATGGTTATTTTGCGGAAGTAAATCACCAATCAATATTTCAATGAAGAAAGACAAACCATCCTTTATACTCTACAATGGTGTGGTGTGTCTTTCTATTTAACCACCAGTTGCAGGTCTTTGTATAGGTGAGGTGTATCTCTACCCTCTTTGCATATCAAGACTAGCATTTCTTTGCAAAACAACAAGGGTGCACTGATGAATCTGCCTTCCAACAATACTTAAGATTCGAAACGGTTCTTTTCTCCCGATGTTATCTGTCTTTGCAAAGGACGAAAAATCATCCACCATCAAAGATCTACACCTTGATTTATATTTGAGAGCAGTTATTTCAGAGGTTTCTATTGTTTCATTGGTACTGATTAATGTCTTTCTGTAGGATAAGATTGAAATATATCTTATGACTACAGACAGCATCAGTTAAAAAAAATATATATAAAGATTTGGTGATCAGCTAGAAATCTGCAATCACTGCACTCCTAGCAATAATGCACTAAATTGGATGGAAAGACTCTGTTAAAGAGCAATTAATGAGTCTTGCCACAGATTCTCAGAAGCATTTGGGTCTAAATCTAGATGTTGACTGTTTTTGTTTTTTTTTTCTTTTTTCTGGCTTTTCTATTGTCCTTACACTGTCACAAGTACAGAGCAACGAAATTAACTCTCTTCATTTAACCCATCTCCTTAGGGAGCAGTTGGCTGCCATTGTGCGGCGTACTAGGAGCAGTGTGGGGTTAAGGGTTAAGGAGTGGGCCTCCCACATATTGGGCTTCCCACAATGCCCTAACCACTAGGCCATAAATACTTCATTACTGTACTTAAGATCTTTGAATATTGAGTTTCTTTTTCTGACAAAAACACACAAAAAAGTCCTTTCTGGCTTCTTTTTTTCTCAAAGATGACAAAGTTTTCCATGCCTATTATTGATGGCATGATAAAACAGAACAGAGAAAAACCCAGAGTGGACACAATCTGTCCAGTTGGAGCAAAGTTTGTTTACAGAAAAATACTAATCGAGATTTCAGATCCATTCCCCCTTTATTAGACCTTAAGTGTACATGTTGATTGTGTTCTATTTTAATTTTTATGCTATTTGCAGCTTTAATGCTGTGAATACCAGAGCTCTAAAATGATTCAGCTGCTTATGCAGGACTTCAGTTAAGTTCAATCTATATCATTTTAATTAGAAAAAAACTAGATCAAATCATTATTTTCTCTCCATTAACAGCAACAGAGGAAAATAAACATATGTTTTGGGTCAAACGTTCTTTTTACATTTACTGAAGTAAAGGAGTTAAATCAATTATTTTACCAGCATCTTTTTTATACAGGTATTTGTACTTTAACTTGAGAAAACAATGTAAGTTGTTTTGACATCTCTGCTTACATATCCTTCTGCCTCACCTTCAAATCATGCAACAGTTCGAGGGCTATGAAAACGATGGCAGGGTTTAACAGACTAAGTAAAGTAAATTTGGAAGTCAGAAAATGTTTTATATTTGGTCAATCAGGGCAAACTCACACTAAAAATCCCTTCCCCAAAGACTCTAAAAGTGCAAAGAGTTTGGTAAACAAAGGCTTCGACCCCCAGGCACACTCCACAGGGCAAAAAACTTAAAGCTCCCCTAGAAGAACCAGTGGTGCATTTGACATGTTTTTGTGAAGCTTTAGCCGCTCTCCCAAACTGCTTTCGCTTACCGCCTGAGAAGCAGCTTGGGGTGGTTCTTGCTCTCCAGGTTTTTGTCGATAAGGTCAGACAGGAGCTGTTTGAGGACACCCGTGGCGTACTCCATCTCCCCCTGCAGGGCTGTCATGATGAGAGAAGCAACGTTGCCTCTATCTCGCATGGAGAAGGACCTCTGAGCTTCCAGCGTGCGGATGAATGTCAGCAAGAAGTGCTTTTTGGTCAGTAGCTGGCCGAACAACGTCAGGGCCTTCTCCACATTGGCTTGGACCTGATAAACAGAGTAGACAGAAAGATGGAAAAAATAAGAGTGAGGAGAATAAGGGACAAAAAAGGTACTGATAGAGGAAAAAGATGAAGGTGGTGTAAATGAAGCAGATTTTTGGTGAGAAGAAAAAGAGGAGGTGGTAGGTTTGATGTGGAAATACAAAGAGAGGCAGTGAAAGGTGTGAAGTAAACTGAAAATGATGGAAAACGAATGATGAGAACAGAACCGATAGTGAAGCATAATAGTGAATGAGGTAATGTGTGTGAATATCAAGGTAGCCTCTCCTGAATCAACCTACAATTTGTTCCTTAACACGCATTTATGGAAATGTATCTCCAAGACAAAGCGCAGAATTTGTCACAAATTTTCACCCCTGTGCACTTTTTCTATACTTTCACATCCCTGCCTCCCTTTACCCCTTTCCTCCTAATATCTAGAAACTGACTCCCCATGTGAGAGACACAAACACAGGTCTGAAGACAGAATGTGAGCTTCGTGCTGTAATAAGAAATTGATCTGCCTGCTAGCGCACCACTGTGGCCTGTAATTGCCTAGGCCATACAAATGAAAATCCAATGCTGTGTTACACTATCGCTTCAGTATACAGTTGATAGCAAGAAGAGATAAAGGTCTCAAAGGCCTGTTCCTGAAGCGGCAACCCTACAGCTGAAACAGACGGGCACAACTTTGGAGTTTTATTGCGGCTTCACTGTGGTGCATTTATCAGCACTAGTGCCTTGCAGCGAGATGGGGTGCACACATGGGATTCTCTGGTTACTCCGGCTTCCTTCCTTTGCCTGAACTTTAGGCTAAAGGCTCTGCTATCCAGCATTTAATGTGAGAAACTAGCAGCTTTGCAGAGCTCATCACAAACCTTACAGCAGACTGTGAGTTATTCTAATACATAAAGAGCTCAATAATAGAGTAACAGGCCCACAAGATATTAAATATGTTTCCTGTCAGCGAAGTATCTAGTTGCTACCAGAATCTAATCAAGAAATAAGTCATTATTAGGAGAAACTCCTATTTTGCAGGCAAAAAAGGAAGCAGCTTCTAGTCTGTTGCATTTTGAGTATTACATAGATATTCCTAAGAGTCTGACTCTAAATGATATCTAATTTAGCTCATCAATGACAATAGGGAAGATTTTCTTTGGTTTTTGACATTAAGACGACCTTTGACTACAGCTGAATGGTTTTGCCAAAAATGATAATTGCCATTATTCTAAACCAATATTATGATTTTATTTCAATGTTCCTTTGCACAAACAATAATCAGGTAAATGTTTTTAATAAAAAGGGATTAGGATTTTTCACGCCCTTAAAAGCTTTGCTTGTTCAGAGTCCCTTTGTTGCTAGACTTAACTGAAATATTTGTGTGTAAAAAACGCTAACTTTTACCTGAAGGCATAAAGCTGCAAGCTAGCTTCATCTCTCTTGTCCTATCAGTAAAGCTGCCAACCAGCTACTTATTCTAATAAAATGCAAATAGGCCCCAAAAAATAGTTCCTCTGCTATTTGAAAATTGCATTTTGTTAAACTGGATTATACTGCAAATACCGTTAATAAAATTACCCAGACCTAATCTTGACTGATACAAATGAAAAAGCAGCAATATTTGGACTAGTCCAATAAAAAACAAACAAAAAAAAACAACACAGAAAAACAGAAATGATCAGAATATTTCTCCCACATCTTGTTTTTTTCTACTAGTCTTTTTTGGCATTTATTAATTTCATGTTTTGTTTTTTTTTTTGGCATTTTTTTCTGTAGAAGCGGTACATTTGGAAAAGTAGCTGTTTTGAAGTATTATGTTCAATGAAAGTTCCATAAAATTACCAAGAAATTTCAAAATGATGTACAGTTAGATAACCTAAAAACTCCGCTGTAGTGAAGTTTTGAGTTTATTCACTCTGAAGCTTTGACTCTTGGCAGCTTACAATGAGAAAAGCAACATATGATCATACGTTTATAATTGTCAGGTCAATTTTTGCAGAGGACTCAAACAAATTGTTAAAGTTTTATGTTTATATCATGAATCAATAATATTTCTAATAGTAAGAAAGTGTAGGGTATTTGATCACTGTATGTGTGAACGCTATTGTGTATGTAGGATTTATTGCCAAAAAGGTATAGCTTGGTGTTTTGAACTACAAAAGCCTGTCAATCATTTATTTATTGTAAATAATATATATTTAAATTGAACTGAAATCCCTGCTCTAGTGGTTTCCACGTGAGTCATATTAGAGAAAAGAGTCTATCCTGCAGAGTTGAAGTAAATTAAAAACCTTTTATGGTTCAACATCTATTTAAAATCAAAACAACTATGTCTATTTTGCTTTATGTTATTAAAAGCTTTAGCTGCAGCAATGCTAAAAATCCATCTCTAATCTAATCTAAAGCTCTCTAATCATGTACAGGTGTGGGCTGCTGTATAAACTTTCATTGATTTATTCTGTGCTTGTTGTGTATGTTGGTGTGCATGAGTGCAGAGCGCTCGTTACTGACCCGTACCTCCATCTCCTTGAGTACAGGATGGTCCTCAATCCCAGGAAAGAGGACCCTCATGGCGTATGTGCGGTAGTCCAGGAAGGGGATTCCTGCTCCGTCCAGCTCCTGCGTCAGTTCATGGATGTCTGTCTGCAACTCTGCAAAGGCTGGAAAAAAAACGGCAAGGGACGTTGATTAAAAAATAAAAGCAGTTTGAAAACCTTACATCGGGAGGGAAGTCATTCAAATTTGATAAATTTATGTTTTTCTAAGAAGTTACATAAATGATTCTTATAGAAAAAGAGAAGCTACATAGGAAAGGTGGCAGGAAGAGGCGGGACAGAGGAAAGTGGTCTGGACCTAGAAGCTGGAGGGGAGCAGGGACATCAGAGTGTTAGAACACACACATTACAGCCTGCCACCTCCCATCATGTTATACACACACACTGGTTCTGTTTTGCCCCACAGCTAAACACACACCCTCGTGCCTGGATGATTTATGTGAAACCGTGTCAATGTTTGTACACATTTTCAGCTCCCGGACAGCGTCTCTTTTGACCTCATTCACTTGAACCTAACTCTCTTTAATAGAAAACAAAAAAATCACTCAAACAGATTCCACTAAAACTACATAAAAAGGGAAACTTTTTAAGTGGTCTCAAGTGCATTATTGCTATAGGAAACTCTTTAAGGAGTAAATACACAACTTTGGCATAAAGACAACCGTTTGCTCTGTAGCCTTATTTAAAACACAGCGCACACCAAGATATGTGATCCAAACAAATAAAGCAAAGCCAGACTAACAGATGGCTCGTGTCACCCTGTCTTCAGTTTCCATCTCTCTTTCTCCCTCCCTCTTATCAAGATGACATCACCTTTCTACCTCTTATATCTCTTCATCTCTCTTTCATTTGTCCCTTTAGATTCCTAATGCCCTCTATTTTCCCAGCTGCTTCCCACCTATCACACCTTGCAGCAAACATGCATGGTCTTCCATGAATGCCTCATGAATTTCTTCACATTTTGTTCCTTTCCTGACATATCTAATATGGATTTTGTGTAATATAGAAGATAATGAAAGAGAAGAATGAAGGGTTAAATGGATGAAATCCTTTTCAGGCATAGCTTTGCATTTTTGTTCCCTTTCTGAAAAGTAACCATAACGTCCAGCATAAGAAAACTATTAGTTGTGCACATAATAAATCTGGCCTCTATGAAGAAGTGAAAAGAGAACCCTGTTTAGAGTTTGAAAAAAATCACAAGGGTCACAGCAAAGGTATGCTAAATAGAGGGCAGTAAGGTTAGCTGAACACGTTTACTCGTCAAAAAGACCCAAAACATAAATACTCTCCATCTGATCAGAATCAACAACTTAATCCTAAAGGTTGACCTGTTAGAGGATGAAAAATACCTGAGAATGGAGTAGATCTGTATGCAATAGCTTATAAAAATATTCACATATTCAAATGGTCTAGTCAAAGTTCAAACACCATCTATAGAAACATTTGCACATCACTTTTCCCACATGGTGCACTGCATCCAATCTAAATACATCTGACTAATCCACTTATAAGATAAAAAAAAATGATTTTAAAACCATTTTTCTTACATTTTCGGACATATTTAGAAAAGCTCTATAAAAGAACAATAGATTTGTAGTAGTAGTTGAAAACCTATATATCACTGTCTATGCCTTTCCTCATAATTCTGTTTCTAATTTAACCTTTTTTCTTTATGAACCACCTTTTTTATAAGCTCCACTCTAATTATTTCACACATCCTTCTTTCATTTGTAATTGATTATTTTGTTTCAGACTATATAAATATATATATTGCAGGTAGTTTTTAAAGGGCATGGAATGAATTGAAGTCAGGGGGAGAGCTGTGAAGGGCCCACAAAAAGAAAACTGTTGATATCCTTATCTGAGGCTCTCTGCCTTTAACGGCATTGAAAATCTACCAGTATGAAACCCTAAAGCATCATAACTTCAAATGACAATTTCAATACGGCATCCTAGATTTATCCTGATGTAATCATGATATGTGGAAATCAGTCTGGTTGATTAAAGTCAAAAAACCAAACACAATCTGCCATTTTAATCCCACAGAGGCCGCCTGTCTTAAGGCATTTTTTAGGGGTTTAGGTGTGTTACGCATCAGCTCATGTAGCCTCAGGCTTCCTCAGTCCAAGCAGATACTTTTAATGCAGTTTGAGAATCTCAATCTGATGTTTCAACTTCCTCCAGGCAGATTTTCTAAATATGTAGCAGTACTTTCATGGGCCTATAAATAGATTTTGTGGTCATATCATGGCTGTGCCTGCCTCGGTTATCACAGTTTCTCTTCAGTTGCATCAGATGCATGCAGGGGAATATTTGATGTCTGTGATTCCATCGAAGCTTCTATCTGGAGTCTTCAGTGAAATAATGTGTTGATTTCTGCTGCTAAGGTCGCTTTCAGATCTGATATCAGGATTAAGTTGCTGATCGATACAGACCCGAACATTTGATACCGGTAGTTTTATTTGACCGATTGCATGGAAGTAAGAATTCCTCTTTTTAATAGTGACATTTATTCTCAATTCCAGTGTTTGGATCATCAAGAGAAAAACATTTAGCTGAAAAAATTTATTATTTTATCAGAACTGCTGGTAAAATTAATGCTACCACCTTTTAAATTGACTGTAACTAAAGTTTAGTCAAAGTAAATACTTTATAACGATTTGTTTTCCAGGGATATATATCTGACAAACACTTCTTTTCAGTATTTTTAATGAACAAAATGAATGACAGTGAAACAAAATCTTTTTAGACCTCTATGTTGAAGAACTTTAGCAAAAATTTGAATATTGTGGTCTGCAAACTGCAGCTCCGGACCTGCATGTGGCTCTTTAAACCCTCTACAGTGGCTCTTAATAATGACTAAAAATGATATAAAGAACTACCTAATATAATACAGTAAGAAAAATAACAGTCTAAGAAGCCTTAGGGGGTTTTATAAAGAATGTTTGAAGTGAACTTTCACAACAGGATGACATTACATTATTCTTTTTGTTACCTTGGAAATTATTTGTTTAAATATAATTTTTCTACATCAAACAATATAAAATAGAAGAATCTGCGCTACATCATTATGAACCCTTTGATGATTTTCCTTAGTTTAAAAGCTAAAAATACAAATACATTTATTTTTAAGATGGCCACAGATTTCCTATGGCAAATATTTACCCAAAAATAATAGGCTGTGTTTTATTAGACAGTCATTCAATATTTTGCGCTTCTAAATGACTTAATAAGCCAGACTCAGGGCAAAATGGCTGTTATGAAGGTTTGTAGACTCCTACATTAGACTGGACACACATCATACTATCACAAACAACCGAAAAATACAACAGAAGTTAAATCTTAGAGGCTCTATCAGTAAACTTAAAGTATGTCATAAAAAGATATTTTAATAAGGACAATGATCCAAAACATGACCATATAGGGTCATCTCAACTCCCCTGAGCTAAGGCTGCTTTTACTTCAAATAATTGCTTCTTCCCCGTTTTTTACCACATTTTTAATTTGAAGATGAAAAGAGAAGAAATAAAAGACTTTTTTAGGCCTTTTCAGACATCTTTAACAGGGGATGATGACATCCCTTTACCTGACCATGACGCTCCCGGACTTATGATAAAAAGATGATTCTACTGAAACAGAAATCTAGAAGAGAGTGATAAAATAAATCTGCTTGATTTAAATCTGATGAAAAACTGTTTGCACATCAGGACTGGAATACTTGGATGGCTAGCCGCTACCAGAAGAGCACAAACTGTGTCCGTATGATTGGAGCCTCTCTAAATCGATGCAACAAATGAAGTGATCTCTGTGTTAGAGATATATGAATACATGGGGATGATCATGTTATCAGTATTCTCCTTCTCCTTCACCCCATCTGTTTGTCTCACTGCTCTGCCAGCATCAGCAGCCTCTCCCTGGATCCACGCTGCCTCCTGCCAAATGAAAATATGCTAATGCACTGGTGTGTAACTTTCACTCGATCCCTCCCTGAGCTTCAGCTGTTGCCAAACCACTCCTTCCCTACAATCCCTTACTTTCCCACCTCCGTGCCCTTTCTTCCTCTGCCCCAGCCCCCCCTCCACCTCCAACGCTTCTCTGTGTAGACCATGGTGTGGCCAGCCAGGCTGCGCTCTCATGGGGTGGAGAGCCAACATCTGGTGGCTGGCTCAGATCAAAGTGCCCCTCTGGAAACGCACCAATACCCACGCAAACATGCACACACACAACTGCTGCAACCCAACAACAGGGGAGCGCCGACTAGAAGAGCCAAAATAAGAGAGGAAAGCAGGAGAGAAACACTTTGGTCGAAATGTTTTCATATATGCTGTGAGGGACGAAATATGTCAGAGGAACAGCCGCATCATGAGTGTGGAGGTGTTGGCTGAACAAAGTGCCTCTTACTGTCCACTCACCTTCTTTGCACTCCAGGGCCACCCTCGACTCCAGATTGTCCATCTGCATCTGCAAACGCTTCAGGGTGCGGTCGGCGTCCCTCGACTTCCTCTTGTACGCGATCAGAACCGCAATGATGACCAGCAGAAGCAGGCTGCCGCCTAGTGTAATGCCGATGATGGCAGGCGTGCTGAGAAGAGTGTCGGAGTAGATCTGCAGAGTCCCAAGTGAATGCTCAAAGCCACCGACACGGACCTGGCAAAGAAATGAAGGCAGGAAGTGATTTCTCTAGCAAGTTTATGGAAGACCAAAATAAATCAATAAATAAAAAGGAGGCACATAGAAATAAATCCAACATGAAAATTGGAATTAAACAGATAATAATACTGCAAAATATTAATTATTTAGCCCATTTGTAAAGTAGAAACACTTTAGACAAATGATTCCGATGCAGAGATGTCTGTCAAGGTCAGACTTTAATTAGAAACCCTGCAAAAGCCACAGGGAGAAAGGAAAGAGGGAAGGAAATATGGAAATGAGGAATCAAGAAAAGAAGGAAGTAAAAGTAGGAAGGGAAAACCAGAGGAAGAATGGACATGTCTCTTCCAACCCTGGATAAAAATCTCAGTAATATATCACTGCTTATGTTTTATTATATTTTAGGCAGGAAAACCTTTAAGTTAAAAAAAAAAAAAAAAGGTCTACTTGCTTAACCTAAAAACAGATGGAAATCGTTTTCAGTCTTTATCTGAGCTGGAGAAGGAAAGTACCTGCACCCTGATTGTCTTAGACCACATCAAAAAGGTTGAACACATCAAAATGAAAAAAATTAAATAATGAGAAACGATCAGTCCCAAAGCATCGTTTCCCACCCCCACATCCAAACCCCCTTGAACAGGCTCACATCTTTAAAATAAGAAAAGAAGGAGGCTAAAAATAGAAAAAGACCTCTCATGCCTGCTAGCCATTTTTTGGTTTCCACTGAACACCAACACTGTTCAAATGCCAGAGAGGATGCCAGCCAAAGCAGACTGATCAAAAGCCTCTAAGACACAAATACAGTGGCAGGCGCTGCCAGCGGTACGGGGAGAAGGGATGTGCGCTCACAGCTTCCAGAATACGGTAAAATGTGGAGTAATTGGAGGTATTTAGGTCAGAAGGATAGATGGATGAATGAGAAGGAAGGGGATTGATGTATGGGGGGGGTGGTACAAACAGCACACTGAGCTGAGGATGCTGAATAAATGTGACAAAGAAATGTGATTGCATCATCAGATACTGACAATATGAACCATTAGCTGCATAATGGGAGGAAAATATTACTCAGGATGAGTTGAAGCTCGTTTCCAGATTTAAAAAAGAAATCCTAAAGATCTGCTACTCTAGGCTTCACTCAGATCAGGTGAAAACATCACAAGAAGTCAAATAGTTTCCTTACTGTGACTTTGTGCTCCCCAGTTAATGTAGGCAATTCACACAGCAGCTGGCTCTCAGACAGGGTGAGGGCGCAGGGCGTGTCTCCGATCAGCACCGTGTAGTTCAGCTTAGTGTTTCCTGGGGCTGCAGGAATTAGGTTACGACCCTGGAAACAGACACAAATGTAGCTCATGAGCTAAGATAGTTGAGGGCAGCACCATTCATACATAGCATTTCTCTGCACTAAAATTAACACCTTATGAAGGAAACATCTACTTTAGACAGCTTGACTTAGGTACGGACCACTCCCCAAACTCTTCGATTGACTTTGCTTTACAATCTTCCCACCACTGTGGTTAACCTTCTAATTGTGTACCTCTAACTCATCTAATTTAAAATTCATAAATGCTTTAAATAGATCACTATGTATTAATGTCCATGAGTTTAAAATGTATTGAATTTTTAAAATGTATCAAGTTCTTATTGATGTTCAAAGCGCAAAACTGAATCATAATCTGCATTTTTATAACAGGTCATTTTCACACCCATCTTTAATAACCCTCCATGTAATAATGTACCTATAATAAACATATTCATCCCTTTAGTTATGTTTTTCTGCTGGGGTACATGTGTGTGAAATGTTTATTTTTTTATTTACATTATCAACTAAAAACTGTATAAATCAGTTTTATTGCATTTCTATTGTTTCATTCTATTTATTCTGTGTGTTGAGGTGAAGCAGAAAAACGTAAGAAAGATATATTAGTGATAGACAAAACAATTCACAATAAGTTCAATCTACTATTTCCAACTCATAGTTAAGCAGAGTGGGAGATAATTCATAAATATTAAAATTGCAGAAAATTCTTTGTGTTTTTTGTGCAGTTCTAAAGGTCTTTACCCCAAACACAGCAGGGCATATACAAATAGTCATTATTATATTTATAGATAGTGAGGAAATATCTGCTATTCTTCTTAAAGTCCAACTCTTATTTGCTATGAAAAAGAGGCTTTGGTTTTCCATGAAATTGCATAATAATTCCCCCCGTCGCTCCTGAAAGGCTTTGAAGTTCAAAGGGTGAGGAGGGGGATGTCATTAGACGGGGTGGGTGGGGGCAAATGCTTATCCTATACAAACCTGCGCTGCCTCTGTTGTTCATAGTAAACAGGTCTGTGAAGCCGTTTTAAGATTCAAATCTGAGCAGGTTCCTTAGCAACACATGGACCCACTTTAAAAACACGACTTGCTTTGGAGCTGATTTAAAAGGGACGGTAAAAACATTTTTTTTTTTCCATTAAAGGTCTTCGACACCCACTGAAGAAAAGCAGGTGGAGGAAAAGAAAAACATTTCTTAATATCAAACCACAAGGAAAAGAAGAATGCAGGAAAAGCAGATGAATTGTTAGCAACTCATCAACTAAATTAAGGAGCTTTCTGCTACATCTAACAAAGAAAAAAAAAAAATACTATAAGCAAGATTAAAAGTTAAAAGCTGTTGACAGTCATCCACCTAAGAGGGATCCTGCTATCTGCTAACGCTGTTCTTCCTGTGAGGCGGTTAACCTTCCTCTGTCCTGAATTCCTGGTGTTTGCAGACATTTCTGCCTCAGCTTCAGAGTGTAACCTTCACTGTAAAACAGCTTTCAAGTTAAAGCACAATAAACTCAACCCAAACATTCATATTCCTCTCACACATGCCAGGTAAACGGAGAGAAAGCAGAAAGGAAACAGGAAAGGTGAGGCATAAGGGGATGAAGGAGGGACAGATACACGGACATGTTAACTAGGGAGGAGAAATGAGGGGGAGGATTAAGGAGCATTTAGCAGGAGGATGAAAAGAGAAGGCCAGAAAAGATAAGTACCATAAGTGGAGAAAAACGTACCTTGAGTATGAGTGGCGAGCTGGGCTTCAGCTCCAATATGCCGCTGAGACTCAGAGACTCAAAGACCGGATCTGGGTGGTAGCTGAAGGTCTCGTTGATCACCAGTACGGAGCGCACGCCGTCCATGACGAACCCGATCTCGTCAGGACTGGTTCCCATCTCAGAGAAGCCTCGGTCCGATTTGGCCACAGAGGGCGCCAGGCAAATCATGACGGTGTTGTTGAGAACCGTGCAGTTCTAACGAAACAATAAACAAAAGTGTATATTAAACATCCGCTGATCGTTTTGCTCCATCTTTTCATTCCTTTGGAGTTTTTACTGTTACCAGAAATTAATCCTTTCACAATGCAACCTTTCTCACTTATCTTAATCACAAATTAAAGTTATTTATTATGCCTGACTCATATTTTATAGTTAAGATAATCACTTAAGTTAATAATAAGTAAAGCATTGACTCCGTTGTCTTAATCCATCAGTTTAATGTAGAAATATAACTTCAGAAATGATAGAACTATGAATTTAAATTCCCTCTTGTGATGGAATTAAAGGGGATAAATGGAATTACAGCTAAATTTTAAGTTATAAGTAAGCCGAAAAAAAAAAAATAATAATAATAATAATGTTAAAGGAGTGAATGTAATACCAACTATCTTCACAATCAATGAAAATTGAAAGCCTTGGCTTATCATTGCAGTGGTGTAAGACAGATATAAGGAAGGAAATGGAGATATATGCTTATTTTTTTGCTAAATGGTAAACTGATCTGTGTCACATAAGCAGGTCACGTCTTTACGCCCACCATAAATGCGTTTCAAGATATCGAACATTTCCATCTGGAAGGAAGAGATTTAGAACCGTTCCAATCATTTTGGACGTTCTTCAGGTTGGCTTTATGAACTGCAGTCCAGGAGCATGCTGGTTAAAGCCTTAGCCTAAGAGGGTCTAGATGCTAAAAAGGCTGAGAAATGCCCCTTTTATATTTTTCAATTGTTGTGAATTAATTTGCAGTTTTTGTCAGAAACATTTAAACCAAAATAAGTAGATTTAGCTTAGACTAGAGTTGAAATGTTGCAAGTCCAGACACAGCATCCTCTACATATAAATACATATTAACACGCTTTTTCTGATCTTAAACTTTTCTCTAAATATGACCCTCTTTTTTTTCCTATCTAGACTTTACATATTTTGTTTCTTTATTTTATACACTAGGAACCATGCCCTTTGAATCTATTAGAGCTTCACAGTAGGAGGAAATAAAAGGTTAGCTCAACAATGAGCTCTGCTATAGGGGCTAAAACAGGGTTATGTGATGCGACTGATTAAATGTGTCTGTAACGACATAATGAGGAAAAGGCGGCCTAATAACATCAGTGCTGTAATCAGTGTTGATATCATCTGGAAATACCCAGAGGGTTTAAACACTTAGAACAAATTAGCCCATAATAACAGAGAGGAACTGAAGTGGTCAGCTTGTAGCTCCTAATGACAACACGGGATGGCAGAAGTGACCTTTGGACAGTTCCATGTCTGGATTTATAAAGCTCCTTGAAAAGTATTCAAACACCTTTGACAGCTCAGCTTAGAGTAAGAGAAACAGCTATTTGCTATTTGGGAATTTCTATAGACAGACTGGTTTTATTCAGGGGTATCAGGCTAAAAGAGGTCAAAAAATGTTAATGTATGTCCCACTTTTCAGTTTTAAACCCGTTGAAGTTGGTCATTTAAAGCTTGAGGGGTGTAAATACTTAAACTAAAGATTGTATTACATCTGTCACAAACTGAAACATCATCTGTTTGTGTACAAACACAAAAGATTGAACGGTGTTTATAGGTCAATAAATACACCTCTCTGCAGTTATGTATGGGAACAAAGGGAGAATGTGGGATATTTTTTTTTTCTACTTTTGGCTCAGAGTGGGAAATGGAAAAAGGTTAGCTGAGCCCCGTGGTGAAGGGTGAGGAGAGGGGGGATTTGCAGGAGCAGCTTTATTGCTAGTTGACATTTCAAAGGTTAAACTGCTAAAAGGAAATTCAACATCAAAAACAAACAGAAAATGGTCCCTCGGTAGCTTGGCCGACAGGTCGGGACTACAAGTACGCATGTGGATAGTGAGTGAGTTTAATCTAGCAGATTTGATGAAGAAGGAATCACGTTTCTAGGGATGCATGTAAATAATCCTCCTCTAGGTGGCGCCTGATCAGGTAGTTGGTAAAATATTCCTCTTTGGTATGGGATGCACCTTACTGTACCTGATACAACAAACCAAACCAAATATAACAGTTTGTGTTACATAATGGAAAATACCTCAGCGGGTGGGAAATGTAATATTAATGAAGGATAAAATAAACTTAAATGCTCAACTGTAATATGTAGCTCTTAGAATTTGACTCCTGTCACAATACATTATAAACAGGAACATGCTGCCATCTTATTTTTTTGTTTAGTCTCAATCAAATGGCAGCAAATCAATGGATTTAAGCAAGTAGACATGGAGAAGATGTGTTTTTGGAGTTTGGACAGAACAAAGAAAGGCTGTTTAAGCAGGGGCGGAGCTACATGAGGGGCCAGAGGTGGACAAGACCAATAATTGGCCACCCCTACCATTGTTTCCCTCTAATACAGATGGTGGCAGCAGTAATAATCTCAAGTGAAACCTTCTAACTTATTTAACATTTAAATTTTTCAAATGTTAACAGTCACTTCACAACAAAAACCTTGTGGTTAATTTTTCTCATCAATTAATGATGATAAATATCCTGTATTTATCATTATCATTATATTCATGCTCTTTTCAGAACTAGGTTTTGTCTTGTAGGGTAAAGAGAAAATTATTTCTCTGCAAGTAATATACAAGTCCTCAGAGATAACCACTTTAATAATAAGTAATCAGTTTAGTGTAGATATTAGTACATGTAAATATAAATTTTATGCAGAACGATTATTGATAAAAGTAGGTACGTAATGACAATGAATAAAATGTTCGCCCCAGAACTCAAACCTGAAAGAATTTTGTCCACAACACCTTTAATTTAGACAGCATGAATGTTTAAATATGTGTCCATATGTTAGCAAAGGCTGTAGAAAAGTATCTTTAGTCTTTATTTAGAAAATATGGATGTTGCGGTTCTTCATTTTTCTTTTCGAACAGTGTAGATTGACCCTGAGGTTCTAGCTGCTTTTGGCCACCCCTAAGTTTACATTGGTTATTGCCTGGCCAGCCTTAACATTTTCTGGCTACACCTTTGGGTTTAAGTGACTTTGAATGGCTGTAGCAGTAGCTTGGAAGAAAATGTTTAGTTACTAGGATGCGAGAACATGGGGCATCCAGGTTCAAGATGGAAGAAGTGAAACTCGTTTTTTTTTAAAGGCTTGTGTCGACTCACGTCAGAAACTTAGCTTCACCAAAATTGGCAGATAAAAGAGTAGAAAGTATATGTCTGCTCTAAGGAGACCTAATTTCAGCAGCCATGTTCAAACCGTCAGAATTTGGCTCAGATGATATAAAAGCATGACACCATCATTTCTTGGAGGTTATTTTTTGGGAGGGGACACTCTTAAACATTGCATAATCATGAAAGAACAAGTCGTTTTTCCATGTCCACCCATTATAACCAGTTTTCAGCAGGATAATGCACCATGTCACAAAGCTCAAACCGCCTCTGTAGATCCCAGTGGCTTCTATTGGGCAGATCTCAAATCAGTGAAGCAGCTTTGTGAGACTGACATCAACCATGTGCAGCAACTTTTATCTTAGTATGAAAGCTTGTTGAATCTTCATCAAGAAATGGATAAGCAGGTAAAAGAAGAACCAGTTTGGCTAAAATAAGATTAACCTTGAGAATGAGCATCACATCAAACCAAACTGTTTATTAAAACATATTGAACAGTTCAGACTAAATATCTCAGCTGTTATTGTGCCATTAGAAATGTCTGCTGTGGGAAATATTTACATATTCCTCTCATTAATCACAGTAATCGATGGCTTTTCCTTGGTGAATAAAAACAGGTGCAGCAGTTTTCAAACTTACATTTTGTGACTGTGCCGCTCCGTATTTGGCTCTCATTTTGGGCTCTTTGATGGTGGCCAGATTGGTTCCAGTTATGGTCAGCAACAGGCCTCCGCTAAAAAGAAAGACAAAAAACCCCCACTTATTAGAAAAACAACAAATATGCAATACCAAAAGAAAAGCAAGATTTTTCGAGGCTCTCTTGCTTCCTACAGTGTTTTCCTGCTGCTTTTATGCAGAGATAAATGCGACTAAATCTGTTCTCTGTGGGATTCAGCAGGACCCTTCAGATGGCGATTCACCATTAATGTGTAGCCTTTCACCTGCTTATTCATGGAAACCCTTTTTCCTGTAATGAGCGTGATGCTACAACCGTCATCTGAATGTTAAAAGCTTGTTTAAACCCAAATGTAGGCAGGGGTGAAGAAGATGATTATGTAGTTATTTCAGACTGCAGAAGCCTTTGGCCTCCACTCGCTGCATTGTAGCAGGAAGAAGACATACAAGAGGTGTAATAAAGCTGCATTTTTGCCTTTTTTTAATAGGAAATGCATATAGCAGAGGAGTTAAGTAACACAATTTTGACCTTTACAGGAAGATGTGATGTCAACCAGCAGGGACATGGATAATGTGGGCGAGGAGCCCGTATCACCACACGGCCTCGGTGACAGCCTCCATCGGCCTGTGAGGCTGAACTTTATCTGATTTGAGGCTTTCTGACAGATTCTGTTTAAGTTAGTTCACAACTTATCTAAACCCAGAGCTAATGTTGGTCACCGCTGGCAAAAGAAATGATACTCTGGCTGAAAATGCTTTGGCTCAAACTGTTTTGCAACAGGGCAGAGAAAATCTCTATCCAGGCTTACCTAGTATGATAGAAAGATTTGGACCATTTTAGTGTTTTAGTGTCGCTTTTTCCACAGCAGCTAAACATAAACCGTTAAACCAAAGAGCTTAGCATAAAAGACTGTCTCTGGGGTTGATTTTAGTTGAACTTTAGGTACAATTGGCCCTAAAATGGAATGAGACAACACCCAAGCTAAGAAAACGCAGAGGGGCTGAGAGAGAACGCTTTGCATGGTGTTATAAGTTTACTGGTAAAAAAAAACTGAAATCATAGATGTACAAAAAAAATAAAAAAACAAAACAAACTTCAATATATTTTTTAGGCCTGAAATTTCCAGATTCCTCTGCCGTTTTTTTTTGTTTACATTTAAAGGTTTCCTCAGAATCAACTGAAGTTTATTCTTCTTTTTCTCAGGTGTAAAATGTGCAACACAGAAAAAAGAAGGATCTGGAAAAAGCAGCTTGATCATATCCAGACTGTCACGGATCCCTGTAGGAACTACTTTAAACATACAACTCTCAGTGAATGTTGTGATAATGTGTAAGGACTACTGAGCCTGTATTCCTCCTTCAGCGTAAAGCCAGCAGTCTCTGAAAGCTCCAGAAACCCTGCAGCCAAAGCAGAATCTGAATATAACAACATACTAAAGAAAAAAAAAGGCCTGACTGGTCAATAGAACAATGCTGCTCCTCTCCTGGGTACATCTAAAAAAAAAAAAAACTCAAAGAGCTGATCTCATTTCCATCAAAGTTGGAACCTTGTTTTATTCATCCTTCTTACTCTCAACCCTCAATTTCCTCCTTATACGATTCTTTGTCCTTTCACACCCGTTTCTCTGCATGTGAGAGTTGGTTCCCTCTGTGACGACGAGGAGGAGGATGACTGTTATATCCTTAACACAACATTTGAAGGAAAAACAAGGCTTGCAACCAGAGTCAGAGTTAAACTAAATTATAATACCTTGAAAATGTTTTAAACTCATTGGGTGACCATAGCACAGAATAATATTCTTGTAATCTGAAGTTGCGTGTTCAATTGCGGGTTGGTTCTGTCACATGTTGATGTGTCCTTGAGTAAGTTGTCTACTGATCTGCATATGTTTATATTTATTTATGTTTATGAATGTGAGCACATTAGTGAGTGTGACCCGAATGTGGCTCTGGTGCTTTTGATATGAATAGAAAACTGCTGCATAGATTCAGCTTTTTACTTTTTATTGAATTTAGTAAAATCTCAAAAGTGTGGCAGGTTAGTGAACGAATGTAAAAAAAAAAAATAAAAAAACAGCATCATGGAGATAAAGGAGCGCAACAGACAGATAAGCTGTAGAACTGCTAACCTACTAATAAAAGGAAGAATCAGAGAATAAACCAAAAGCTTTTAGTAACTGGTTAGATTTTTACAAACTACCAGCTGCTATCTAATCTCTAAAATCCATTTAAAAGAAAATAAATAAATAAAAGCAAATACATGAAATTAGATGCTATGGAACAAAATTTTTTGTTTTGTTATCCTATGTGCATTTTTTTTAAAGTTACTGTAAAGTGCTAATGAACATCACAATAACACAGCATCTTGTGTTACTATCTAACATGGTGGTGGCAGCATCATGCTGTGGGGATGCTTTTCTTCAGCACAGATAGTAAAGCTAGGCAGATCTGATGGGAAGATTATTTTAGACCTTTATGTTGCGTTTGTATTTAACATAAAATCCTAAGGAGAAAATAAATTGAGATGTTTTTGGATCTATCTTAATAAAATGGGCAAAATTCTAGATTAAGAGATTTTTCAAGGCAACATACCTCTGCTTTATAAACGGTAGATCAAAAAGCTTTACTTAACATATTTAAACTGATTTGATTTCCAGAGATTCTTTGGATCCCAGAGTCCTATTTGTTCACCTTTTCTGCATATTTGGCCAAGTGCTTCCAAATACATAGTTTTGCAGATTAATCCTGTGCTCGCTATTTGCGTTTAGGAAGTAATACCAGAAAATGTTAACTATTTGGAGGTGCTATAGTAACCTTGCGTTGCAAGCAGGATTGTCACGAAATGTGAGTTTTTAGTTTCACGACAAATCCATCTTGAAAGAATCCCACTAATGCGTCCGTCTCGTAACAACCAGCGAGTCGGACCAATGACATGTCAGCCGTGTTTTTTGGGGCGGGACATGCAGGAATGACGACAGTAAGAAGTCTTGCGAGGGCATTACAAACATGGCTGTGCTGGAGGCCCTGTTGATACTGCAATTGACTCGGTTTTAGCTAAAATTGCGACAAAATCTCGTTTATAAAAGGCGCAAAGAGAAGAACTTTGTGCATTTGTAAATGGGGAATGTCTTGATTCGATGCTGTGATTGGCTGAAAGCTTATAATGGAAGACGGGTACCAGCTGGCAAGTCACCTAATCAGCTTGAAGTATTGTCCTAAATGTCCCAAAACGTCCCTTTTCACGGACAGACTGAACGGCAGCTATCCCAGATTGATAACATAGAACTTAACACCGTTCTACACTGATTAATCTGGCTACTGCCAGGTTAGGCTCATACTATCTTCAAAGTAAATAGGAAGTTGAATGTGTGTTTATGTTGGTGCACAAGAGCTGGTGTCCCTTAAGAGCCAAACAGCACAACAGTTTCTAAGTCGTGCTCCAAAGCCCATTGGCACACAGACTCTATGGCAGCTGGTGTTCGCAGAGGACACCTTCCTCTGGCTACATAAACTCATTTCAATAAGTCAAGTAATATTTACAGACACACATCTGCTGCTGCTCATCAGTCAGCAGTGCACTGCTTTTAGGAGCCTCTTTTACTGCTGCTCTGATGTCAAAGGTCAACTTTTGAAACATAAATAGACGAAATATCAAGCTTTAAGAAAGCAAAATGAGGGAGTCAGGGAGGGAAACATTGTTTTCTTTGAGAGCCAGACAGGGAGTAAAGGCTAAATAAAACATTTATGGCTCTGCAAAGAGAGTTTGTGTTTGAGTTATGATGGCTATCCTCTTTTTCAAAAAGGGTCTGAGCAGAAGGTCTAACCACCTCAAAGGATTAATAATGTATGGATGCCTTTGTGTGCGTGCGTTCTGCAAATCTACAGCACATCAAGCCGAATTGAAGATCAAACACTGTAGAGATGTAAATTATAGATAATGAAATCTCAGATACTAATATATTCACCAGCAGGGAAAGACTGAGCCACATAGAAAATATTTATACTGGCACATTTAAGATGGGAGTTTTAGAAAATGACAATCAAACCCTAATTGTCTGTTCGGTTCAACGTCACAAGAAGACGACCTGCAGAAAGGCTGCGATAGCTGGCATACCTGGCGATACTCCAGTCGGGTTCGATCTTGAGAATGGTGGGATCGTCCGTGTAGTTGAACTTGACCTCAGGGTTTCTCAGCTCTGCAGCGTTGATGTCAACCATAACTGGAGTGGGGCCTGTTGCCTGTCCAGCCGGTGTTACACACACAATCTCCTTGCTGGTCCGCCTGCACAAGAAGAAAGAGAACAATGTAGAGATATGAACATCTGACTTAATGTTATTTAAAGGACTCAAAATGTAAAGGAAAACTTCATATTTTGCATTCTACTTGTATATTAATAATAACACATGGTAAAAAGAAGCAGATTGGTACAGAAAAAATAAAACGTTGACCATGAACAAGACAAATATTTTTCATTGAATCTATTGTTTCATCAGCTAAAACACCAACACAGCAAAGTTCAAAGTTATCTCCCTTCCTCTCCCTCCCCTCCCGTTGTTTCTCTGGCTAACAGATCAGAAGCAGCTGATCTGACTGGTCGTCCACTGGAGTGATGCAACTGCCTCACTGACACAAAGTCAGCTACAACCAGCGGGGGAACTTCATGCACCATATATTCAGCATCTGGTTTGGCCATCATTAGGTAAAGTTCTGACTGAGGTATTTGAAGTGTGAAATGCATGAAATTCTGCAAATCTAAAAGCATACTGATAAAGCAATCTAGGCATCCTTTTCACATTTTAGCACATGAGCACAAATAAGAAATTAGATCAGAATAATGACAATGAAGCAAAAATGATGCATGTTTTTAAAGGCCATAAAAACAACCCCTGAAAACTAGTACAAACCGGTTTACAGCTCAGTGGAAAAACCTGAAAGTTGCTCATCATGGCACTCGCCATCTGATCTGAATGCACTTTATCTGTGTTCTAAGGAAGAAAAAGCAACATTTTTCAGTCTGTAGTTATGCAAAGATTATAGAGTAAGAGTCTGAAACGTGCTGATGAGACTGCAGGGAAATGTAGTCCTAATATGTGTTGAATCAGGAGGCTAAATACAAATGCATGCCAAACTATTGAGATTTTAAGAAAAACCTTGTGATCCGCTATTAAATTCTATTTCATTACCTCAAAAGCCGTATGAATATTTGTGTTTGGATTAACAAGGAGTATGAATACTGTCTGGAGTCTGGAGCAATGCTTACACCTGAGCATGAAAAGAGCAAGAGCATAAGTACGCAACTCTTCCTTCAACGTCTGCTGTGAGAGGAAGAAGGAGATGGGAAAGGAAGGAGAAAAACGATGAAACTAATTCCTGGAGCCTGTTCTTGGCACCTTGCAGTTTTTCCTGGGCGGGTTTGGGCAACTGACCAAAAACTGGGTTATCGGGCGCCTTTGATGAACGTGCTGCTGCTGCATCCTAGAGGGGGGCAGCTTCAACAACGACAACGTTCTCAGACTGAGAAGAGGCAGAGGAAAGGATGAGGAAAATAAAGAAACGTAGAAGATTTTCCACATTCCTCCGGTTCTGTGTTTCCATGGCAACCGGTTTCACAACGCTGTCGAAGTCGAGGGCGCCTGTGGTGCCGCGGACGTATTTTTTGACAAGGTTGCTGCCACACAAAAGAAGCCAGGAGAGGATATGGAAAGAAAAAAAAAAGGGAGGAGGAAAGAAAAATGAAAAAAAAAAGAGGGTTGTGCAGGGAGATAAGAGGATGAGTGACTCGGAGTAAATAGGCTTTGATTAAAGCAAAGGCCCAGCTGAATACAAAGACGCATTAAAAAAGATAGACTCAACCAGTTCATTACTTTGGCCGTAAAGGTTATTGCTGCTCCGTGAATGAAAGGCCAAGACTATTATATTCACCTTTCTGGTGATGTGCTACAGAGCCTCAAATTGGCCTCCACCTTTTTTCTTTTGATGTGATTAAAAAAAGAAAATCTTGAAAGGGCCAAGCTCATTAATATAACCTGCCACTTGTTGCATCAGAGACAGCAGCAACTTTGACAAAAATGCTTACAATAGAAGAAGTCAGTTCTAAAAACACACAGTTGGATTTGGAGACATTTTTTCAGATGCTGATAATTCCTATGCATCCGTGTAACTGGATCTCCTTGTCTTGCAGTCATGGCCCATCGCAACAGAACACAAAAAGAAAAATATCAACCTGATTGTCGACTGCCAACTTAAAAATCAATCATAACAACTATTTCTATAAAATGTCTGACTGGGGATCCAAACAAGACATATTTGTTACTGCAATCATTCCCAACCACATTACTCTTAAAATTATAGTGATATTTCTGCCAAAATGAGGGCTTTGCACTTACGCCTTTCACAACATCACTGAACAATAATATCAGTTTCCCCTGGGAAAAAAAAAAACTACACTGTCATTCTCAAAATTGCTATGAATTACAGTCCTGCAGGTCATCCACTTAGGCGCTGCATTCCTCAGACCAGCAGCAAATAAGGGACCACCACTGGGGCCTGCTAATAAACAATCATTACAGAACTACAGATGAAGGAGGGGAATGAAAGTTTGATGAAACATAAAAGAGATGCATCAACCTGAAATCTGTGGCTACATTTTAATAGCTGTTTTTTTACATGCCGGTATCAACTGTAGCTGATTCCGTTTTGAACATGAAGGCTTTATATTAGCAGTAGAGGCAACATCAGAATACGTATTAAAGAGGACGTTACATGAGTGTATTTACCAGTTACTGAACCTCGAACAGCAGTCTGTCTGTGAACTTAGAGAATCCAAGTCTTTTCATTCAGATTTACAGAAAAACTGCAAACAATTCAAAATCCATCAAATTTGGTGACAGACGATAGAAAACACCAAGGGATAAAAAATAGCGTCCTTACTGATCATTATTTCTGTAGAGTACTGAAGGTTTTCTAGCTACTGAACAGAGATGGGAAGTAACAAAGTTCAAATACTTCGTTACTGTACTCAAGTAGATTTTTCTGATATTTTTACTTTACTTTACTACTTATTTTTATGGCGACTTTTTACTTCTACTCCTTACATTTTTACTAGTGCTGTCAATCGCTTAAATTTTTTAATCGCGATTAATCGCATCAATGCCTGAGTTAACTCGCGATTAATCGCATTTTAATCGCACATTTTTTTCCTGATTGAAAATAATTTAAATACTCTCGATGACATACAAAAAAATACATACAGGCTAGGTTTGTGCCAATGCTCTTTTTTTTAAATGAAAACAGGTCACAGACACTGATTTATGCCATAGAAACATATGGCAAGAAGATGGGGAGGCATGTAGCAAAAAATAACAAATATGTAGCCAAAAAAAAGGCCCTGAAAACAGGCTGATGTAAAAGACAGTCTTTACAGTTAATAGTCTTTTGAACAAAGACAAGCATTTTACCCTACTGCTATAAAATTTAGTAGAGTTAACATTAGATGTTAATTAATCAAGATAATAATGAACAATTTTCAATCAATACATCAAAATCAATAGACCGACATCACTAGATGGAGGTAGTCTATGAAAGTTACTTTTCAGACTCTTAACAAAAATGAGAACACACACACACCCACCCACACACACACACGCGATACCGAGCTGTGGCGTACACATGCGGCAAGAATGCCGTAGCAGATTCCATTTCACCTCAGTAATCTGTTTTCTCAGCGTATTTCAGGTTGCTACTAGTTACCAGACACTCAACTTGTTTGTTGGTGGTGGGGCTTAAAGAAAAGGCACTAGCGTCACCCAGTGTATGAGCGTCTTTTTTCCTTGAGGAGCTCCGCTCTCGAAGCCTATGAGAAATGCATAGACTGGGGGAAAATAGCCCCGCCTTCCCGCAGGCTGCAGCGGGATGTACTTGGAAAATTGTACCATAAAACCACATAGCGTTAATCTCACGTTAAAAAAATTATCGCCGTTAAAATGGCCTCGCGTTAACGCGTTAATAACGCGATAATTTTGACAGCACTAATTTTTACACAAATATCTATACTTTCTACTCCTTACATTTTAAAAAATTGGCTCGTTACTTTAGTTTTGAATCATTTCAATGGAGTTACCGTTATTATTTTTCACGTCATCAATACCAAATTCAATCTAATTGGATGGGAATCTACGTTGCATTTGACGCACCACTACAAGATGAATCGACAGATTCGGCGGTATTCATTCGCTGCAAATCATTGCAGCTTGGTGGCGGTGGCGTTAGCATAGTAGTATGGACGACGAGATGATTGAAAATGAACACAATGGAGATCTAGTCCTATTGGCAGACATCCATTTAAAATGTAGGCAACGGCATGGAAAAAGTGGTTTCTACTTTTACTTTTATACTTTAAGTAAATTTACAAGCCTGTACTTTGTTACTTTTACTTGAGTAAAGAAGTTTAAACAGTACTTCCACTTTTACCAGAGTATTTTTCAACACAAGTATCTGTACTTTTACTCAAGTACGTAAAGTGGGTACTTTTGCCATCTCTGCTACTGAAGGAGTATTTTGGTAGACAGAAGAGAAAAATTGTTTTTTATTAGAATTTTGTAAGGTTTTTTTTTATTTTTATTTTTTAGAATTTTACCTTGGCAAGAAAAATCTTATTGCCAAAGCACCTTAAAGGAGCTCCTAAAGTAGCCTGACGTAGTCCGACTCAATCCTAGTCAGAATATGAGTCTGATACTGCTCCATAGAGCTGTGATTATGGGGCGTGTTTCGAACGAACCAGGAAAAAAAATGCCTCTGCACTCAATTGGATAGACCTACAACCAATAAGAGCAACGGAGTGCGTGACGTATGTTAAGCGACGCATAGTTGTTGTCCACAAAAATCAAAGCGTGCAGTTGCACGCCTATAATAAGAAGATGAGACTTGATCGCGTTTCTCTGTTCCTCTTTTAAAATTAATTTGCTGTCGATATCTTCTAGAACAGACCTAATAGCAGAATCTACTCACCCAAACTCTCCAGCGGCAGCCATTATTGTTGTCACCCAAGCGCGCATTGGTCACGTGGTTGATTACGTTACTGTTTGTCATCTGTCCATCATCGTATAAAGCCCGCCCTGACAATTTGATTGGATCGCCTGACAGTGGGCGATAATACTCGCGCTACTATGGAGCAGAGCCAGACCGAACCTCCCCGACCTCAAACTTTGTGGGCGGGACTAAGTTCGGAATGGCACCCAGGCTACTCCTAAAGTAAGCAAACATTAGAAATAGTGATGAGGACTTTAAGCGAACCTAAGAGTGTCTGAGGCAAAAAAGATGCTGGAAAAAAATTATTTTAAAGTAAAATAAATTGGAAAAACTTATTTAATAATTAAATAATTATTAATTACTTAACTTTATCATCTTCATTGGGCAGGATTCATTTTACTGGCCGGATGAGTTAAAGCTAACGCTCAGAGTTGCTTTTCAGGGATTATTGAAAAAAAATTGTCAACTAATGTGGTAATCACATCACATCAATACCTAAAGTGATGGGTCAAACTCTAAAACATGTCATTTGCTTAAAGATTACATTGCTTAGCAGTAATTAAGACAAAACTTTATAATATAAAATATAAACATACATATGTATATGTTTATTATTTGGACATGTTTTCATGTGCAGTTCTTTTACAATGCTCAATTCAATTGTCTAAATGTTTGTTTATTTAGAAATGTTAATTAAATAAAAGAATCTTTTGAGATTAGCCTAAAGAATTATTAATAGGTTAATCACTTACTAAAGTAATAGATAGCTGCAGCCCTAGTCTCAGCAGATGTCTGAATCCCTCCTTGGCTAATAATGCTTGGCATGAACCTAGATATGATCTCTGATTGTCTGTGTGAATGCACACTCAGACGTTCAACATTTTCTTTCATTTCACAGTAAAAAGGACTTCATTAAGTGACTTTTGCTCACTAAATCAAGGAGAACCTTTTTGAATATGGCCCAGATGTTTGAGATTCCAACAGGTCACCAGTCATGGCAAGCCAAACTGTAAAATGGGTTAAAACTTCTGTGAGCAGAAACCTTGGTTACTTTTATTTCAATGTCTTGAAACAGGATAAGTGTGCACTGTCCTCTGATGAAAAACAGCTTTAATTAGTACAGCTCTTGGATCGCATAACAGCAAAACATCCACTTTTAAAATAGGTGATAAAGGATCACTTTCCCTTCAGTAGAGTGATGACATTGCATCATCTTGAAATAAACCTATCTGAACGTTTGCTTTTATAAAAAAATAATAATTCTGGAATTAAACTGGAAAGCGTTTAAGACTAAGGCTCTAGATCCGTCAACATATAGAGCAGGGACTTTATACTGAACTCAGTTAACAGAGTTCCCATTGATCACGAGACTCCACCTCCCCACACGGCGGCTACGCCCTGTTTGCTATTTGTCACCACCGTTGGGTAGCGACAGCGGGCTGTTTCAACAAATCCCAGAATGCTTTGCAAGGAAAGCTCTCCTTGCAACGCATTTTGGGACATATCTGCTCGTCTAGTGACCATGGATGATCACTACTTTTCAAGCGGCATTCTGGGAAATTTCCGAGTCCACTAGACATTTAGACACTCATCTACAATGGTGTAATCACTATATATAGTGCACTATATATTGCACTATATATAGTGATTAGGGCGGATATTCGGTCACATACTAAATATAAGCAAGTAGGAGTTGAAAAGTTTACACACCCTTAAGTCTACACACCTTTAAAGACAGAATAAAATCAGCTGGTAAAATATGAAAAAAAAAAAAAAGAATATATATATATATATATATATATATATATATATAATTCAATTCAGTTTATTTATATAGCCCCAAATTCACAACACATGTCATCTCAAGGCACTTTACAGTTCAACCAGATCTCATATATATATATATATATATATATATATATATATTTATTCCAAATCAATATTTTTTTTTTTTACTTAAATATCATTCATTAAATTTTATTTATCATCACTTTTTCTTTTTTGTGTTTTTTGAATGCTTAGTGTGGGTTTATAATTTTCTGTAACATATTTTTTGTAAACTTTAAAGCACATCTGTATGTTTAGCAGATTTTCTCACCTTTCAAAGGTACAATTGTGAAGGCCGATCTTCACAGCTACGGCACTGCCTGCATTAAGATGACTGCCTTCAATGGTGATCCTTGTTCCTCCAGACAGAGGGCCGGCGGATGGGTGAACGCGGTTAAAATATGGAGACTAATGAAAGAGACAGAGGGTAAAGCAGGTCAGGAAGAACTCAGTGCTTTTAACACGGCTGTCACACACAATTATAAGATTGTCCCAAGTTAAAAAAAGAAAACCCTTTTGCCAGAGCAGTATTTTAAATCAGAAACACTTGCCACAAAGGTGAAGGCTTTAGGTGAAACAGCTTTGTAGTCAGGGTGGATGCAGTCCCTTACGCAGACCTCCACCTGGGCATCCTGCACTCTGTAACCCGTGGCATCATTCAGTCGGCACACGATCCTGAGGAGAGGGAAGAACACAGATGGAGAGACGAGTTAAACTGGTTGCTTAAAGATAACAGTTTAGTTTGGGCTAAGGTCATCTAGAAGCAACAGCTCCATGTCTATTTGTTTTGAAGTGTGTTAAGTTGGATAGAAGGCTTTACCTAAACAAACACGGAAACAAGGAAAACTAGAACTGGTTTTAAAAACAACAGAACCAAAACATTTATACTACTAATATACACTCAGTGTTGAGATCAAAGCTTTTGAAATGTGACCAGATAAGGATTGAACCCCAGGAATGAAATAGTTTGGAAACCGGCAGGTTTAAATGACTTCCAGCCTTCTGATGGGGTAAGACGACTAACCAACGAAAATATTCAAGGTTTTGGTCGAAGTGAAACCGGCTAAGAAACCTTAAAGATAATAAAAGCTGGTAATAAACAAACATTTCACCGTATATGAATAGAACAAAAGTCTTAAATCAACTGTCTGTTGTAACACAACTTTACAGACCATTTAAATCTTCAACACAAATTCTAAAAGGAGTTTCAGTAACAGAATAGGTTCCTTTTACAGATTTATCACGATTTTTCTTAACCCACTTTTAGATACATATTTGCTTTGAGGTACAAAGAATACTGTTGGTTCTCAGAAAAACTTAAACTAAATTTTTAAAAGGGATTATTGGAGGCCATGCATAAAAACAAAAATGTATCTCTAATGTAACCCCAAGAACACATTGATAATACAACTTACAACAAAAAAAGGAGGAAGACAAAGTAGGAGATGTTCGTAAAACTTTTTTAAATGTCTGTCTAGAAGGGAATATTTGGTAATCTGAACATGCACGTCTAAAACCTGCCTCTCCTGTATTTGCAGTGAGTCCATCATAAAAACAACAGAACAAATGTTCAGAGCAAATCTCATCTGAAATAGAAGAGTCTCTCTGCTCCTGTGTACACTAAGCCTGCATTAACTCATACTGTAGAAGCGTAAGCAGAGCACATGGCCTTGGGCGCTGGCCGGCCAAATGAAAATCCACTGGAGAAATTATCGAGCGACGAGAAGAGTGGTGGTGCAGCCTGCAGGGAGGAGACACACACACAAACTCACATACGCACAAACTTCATATTTCAGCCACTGGAGACACAGTTGACTGTTAATTAGCCAGAGCGAACGAATGAGACAGAGAGAAAGGGCGAGAGTGCAGAACAGAGAGAGAGAGAGCGCGCTTAGGAAAGGAGAGAGAACATTACAGTGAGCGAGGCTGATTAATTGAACGTGCTCATATCTTACACATCTCCTCAGCTTCCTCACCCTGGGATAAGTTGTTAACTCTGCTGCTTCCTTCCTCCCTGCAGGTGGCCATGGTAACCGTGGCACAACGGCGACAATGAATTTCACATTCCGATGCCGTGCGCATCAATTGTTTTTTACTTTGCCTTTCATTTATTCCCAGGTCTCCTGCTATGACAGGGGGCCGCCATTAAAATGCTGGGCAGTCCTCGGCTAGAAACGCGGCTTGGGCTGCGACAGGGCTGCAAAGATGACGGGTGGCTGCACCGAGCTAGTACTGATTCACCGCTTCAAACGTTACCTCGTTTAGATTAGTGCGTAAAATTATGAAATAGAAAAGGAAAGATGTTACATCCACAGATCACTAGTAATAAAACAATATTTTTTCCCCTTCCTAAAGGTTTCTTCAAGGTGAAGTCATATCCAGTTCGTTAATATTTAATGATTGAGATGAATGACAAAAAGTTCTACTTCCTTCAACTGGATCAAAGAAACAGAGACTGACTGAAGGCTGGATTAAGTACAAGTGTTGGTAGCACAAAAAAAGATGGGGAGTAATGGTGAGAACAACGTGTTCAAATTTTTCCAAGATGTAAAATGACCCCCACCTCTCTTTTTCTACCACCTGACCTTTGACCTGTGCTGTCAGTCCTAAAGACTCCTCTCTAGATCTGATAGGGTTACAGGGACATCAAGTGAAACCAGGCCACTAATGGCTCCGTATGGCAAACATCACTTATAATTAGGATGGCAGCCTAACTGCCTACCACACCCTCCTCCTCTTCCCCCCACCCTCTTCTCCTCTTCCTGCGCTGCTACTATAACAGATTTGCAGCACCACAGAGCTGAAATTATAATAGAAATAGATGCATTAAAAAAATTCTAATCACATTTTTCTTTTGGACAAAAATTACAAATGCAAACATTTTAATTTTCTGCTGCACCATCCACAAGCCTGACCTCCCTTCTTCTCTCATCAAGAGTCCATTGTAGCACGGATATATTGTTACTATAGCGTACCTTCTTCTGCCTGTCACTACCCGATCCGTACCAGGAACGCAATCCGTACCATCAGCTCATTTGCGCAGGTGCAACAAGATATTCATCCAGGTCGCCATATAAAATGTAATCAAGGGACTAAAATTACTTATTTTTATCCTTAAATCATCAAATAATGCAAATTTCCATTGTTTAAAATGATAATTTTTTCTGGGATTTGGATGAGTTTTACATTTGGTTATATTGCATGTCTGACGTCATCATCAGACGCGCTCAGAGCAGTCCAGCAAAATATCGTTACGTTATGTGTCTTTATTTAGATGATGCACAATTTACTATAAAAGTACTACAAAATGCAAACATAAAACCCCATATTACTGCAATTATCTACAAATTGCAGGCAGAAAAAATAAGCCGCAAGGAGTAGGGTTGGACCCCACTTCTGGGACAGATCGGAGCTGCAGACGAGGGATGAACAGAAAGGATGTACCGTAAGCACATTTATTCGCTCAGAAAAGACGTTAACATTTAACAAATTACAGTTAAGTACACTTTTTATAATTCAGGAGAGGAAAAAAGTAGTTTCTACTTTTTTTTTCAGATAGCGAGGTGACCTATACTGTATATATCCTAGCTGTGAATGCACAAGCGACCTAACAGTACGGATTGGGTCATGACTGTGCAGACAGACTGTCTTTATTATTACCACCACCTCACGGACTGGAGTGAGAAATCTACCATCTTATTCTCCACAAATCTAAAAAGACCAAAGATCAAGTCCCTCTGCCAACTACATTTTCTTTAATTGCAATTATATTGTAAATGTAATTAATTATACAGCCTTACTAGATATGAAGCAAGAAATCAGCAGAATCCAAGTTGATTTAATGCTTGACCCACATTTTCATCTTAAAATCGGAACAGTTAACTCTCCCAGCTATTCTGACCACACTCTTCAGTGCAGATGCTGTTACTGGGGGAAGAATTCCACGTTAGCGTTATTAGTAAAAGTGAGGCGTTTAAGTTGTATAAATAAGAAAGATTAGCCATAAAGTCTGTAAATCAGTTTTATTCTACAAAGGAAAGCTGCCACCTCCAGCCCCTTTAAAGGGGAACCTGCCATCGTAAATTTTATCCTTTTAAAAAGTGTACCGGTAGGTCTAATATCATGTTTGACTAACTAATGTTGGAAATTGTTTGGAAGTCTCACAGCTGAGGGACCACAGAGAGAGGAGGCTATGGGCAGCTCTTTCAGCTGCATCCTCATGCTAGAAGGGTGTTTCTAGGTTCATCTTTTACTCCACCTAATTGTTTCACTCTGTAGTTTGGGTCTATTCTGTTTTCGTCCTTCTGTAAGAAGGATCTTCTCAATTATTCACATATATTACCATCACATCCAGTATTTAAATTCAACAATGTATTTAGTCTATTGTTGTATTTGTTGATTAAAATTTCATTATTTTACTGATTTTATTTGCAATTTTACAACTGATTGTCCTCTGAGATCAACAGTTTTGTCACGTAGGATGGAGCATAGAGCAGAAAATTACTGCACACCTTAGAACAGAACAGGCTGCAAGTTAAAAACCAGCCACTAATCACTATTACTACTAATACAAGGCAAAGACAGTGATTTTTCTCTTCCTCTTATATCGACATATAAAAGCAGAGTTAATTACAGCACTACTGTATGTGGGACATTAGTTTATATAGATGCAAAATGAATTGATTTATATCAGCCGCTGAGACGTTCTTCTCCTTCTGTTGCTGAGGGTTGGTCTGAAAGCTACAAGTTGGAACTTTTTAATCAGAAAAAAAGGCTAAAATAAAGCTGATTCTTACCCGATAGCTAAAGACAGTTATGTAATTTTTTTGTTTGTTTTAGAAAATGTTGATAATCTGAAAACTGGAGAGCTGGGAGACATTTTTCCTCTGGCGCCTAAACAAAAAACTAATAATCAACCACGGCAAAGACCTTAAAGTCTTATTTATATTTTGAAATATTACATATGTATATATAATAATCTGTGTTTTCTATGGTTTTATTTCTACAGAAGCCTTCACCATGCAGAAAGAGGCAGGTCTGTATCTCAGTCTGGGCTGTTTTTCTGGAAATCAACATAAAGTATAGAGAAAGCAGGTACTCTTTATATTGTTTTATTTTAAAGGTCATGAAAATTGGGAATAACATTTGAATCTACAGGTCAGATCTTTCTGTATATCTGTTATCAGTCACCAAATTCCACATCATTGACTCCATTTGTAAAATGCAGCTCTACTTAGGTTTCACTATCTGGGAGAAAAAGTCAACCTGTTTCCTCTAGAATCAAGAAAAAAATGAAATCAGAGCTTGTAAATTATAGATCACAACTGACATGCCACTACCCATTCTGGCGACACCTGTCACCAGCAGAGAGAGCAGCAAAGCGTTCTGTTGTTTTTACTGTCAAAGTATCAAAGTCACGTCTCTTGCCTTTCCTTCCTATTGAGGAGGCAGACGAACAACCAAATCAGCCGGGGCTGTGCAGTAAAAATCAGCAAATGGCACATTAGTGTCTACTGAGAGCTACATGGTAAGGACCTGAACACTGGAGACGTCTCAAACTGTCACGAATGTCCCAAATTCTTTCCTAAATGAGCTCGTCTGCTTCAAGGAAAAGGAGATAGAGGCGTATTTCACTACAAACTGAAATGCCTTGGATTTCCAGGTGATGGACCAACACAGATAATAAAATGGACAAGGAAGAGAAAGGTTTTTAGAATGGATAACAAATGGACTATAATGGTAATCTTGCCCCACTCTAATGCCTATAAATTTACTCTAACACTACCTTCAGAAATAACTGAATTAGTAAACAGAACCTACCTGTGAGCAATTTGATAAAATGCTTGAAAAATAAAATAAAAAAGGTATATTTCTACAATGTAAAGATAACTCCAGTTTACAAAAGAATTTTTTAGATTCCATGAGAACAAAACTGAATATTCTGGCCAACCTGCAAAGTGGAAAAACACTTTATATAACACTGAAAACCAACAACGTCCTTACAGTAAGACAGGGAGGGGGCAGCATCATGCTGTGGGGATGCTTTTCATCAGTATGTAACAGGAATGTTGGTCAAAATTGATAATAAAGTGGATTGAGCTAAACTAAGGAACAATGGTAGCGGAAAGAAAACCTAAAGTGTACACACCCTCCATCTAATCCGACTCAGTTTCTTCTACTATTTAGTTCTCTTAAAGCTGGAAGACAAAGACAGGGAGAGGTGGTTCTAGAGAGCATATATTTACATGCTTAATTAATACCAATGATAGATTTTTAAGATTTTTATAATAAACAAAAATCTTGCATTAAATTTTATTGGCACAGATTCTCAGCCATTGGGTTGATGACAGATCTGCCCTTACATTGGAGCCAACCAGACTTCTAATTCTTGTTTGATCTCTCATTAAAAAGGCTTCTTCAGTTCTTAACATTGAAAGAATCAGACTAACATTCATAAGGCTGATCTAAAACCCTTTATGACTTCTATATTGAAGTATGGATCTCTATGGAAACAAAATGTAAAAGAATTCAGAGCCGTTATCAATCTGTCAAAGGAATGTTAAGTAGTTTGAGCGAAGCCTCGAATCTAAAGCACCACCAACAGGATAGTGTTTATATTTCCGATCATAACTGAAGGGTAATAAAAACTCACATGAAATCATTTATTTCTGGAATAATGCAAAATAAAAAACAATCTGCAGAGCTGAATTGACCCTCTTTGTCGTTAAAACAAAGAGCTCACTCATACTAGAACAGACTGTGCGTAAACATGAAGCGAGATCATCCAGACGGGACTTTCAGGCTGCTCCAAATAATCTGCTTCACATAAAGAACTGCTGCAGTTATTAAAAGAGAGTTAAATTAAATCCACAACACCCGCTGTGATTCAGAATTTCCCAGAAAGCAGTAAATATAACCTAATGAGAGGAGGCGTTCACATGACAACCTTTTAGCTATGAGCAACCTTATGGGATGGAAGCCACCCACTTCCAATAATAAAATGTTATTAATCTTGAACTTCTTAAAATCAGAATAGTTGGAGAAATACATTCGGTGTAGGAGGCTTCATGAGTCAGTTTATTTATTCTGATCATTTGTGGAATAAAAGGTTGCCGTCACATTTAGAAGGACCGCACGCCTGCAGCACAGCGGTAGCGTGCGCAGCTCTGGGCGCTTTGAAGGGAATTGGTTCTTTTGGAGAGGAGGAAACAGCTTTTAACCTTTACCGGTTTTATGAAACAGCGAGGGAGAGATTGCTGTGCTTAACGTCTAGTGTCACATCGATTTGGGACTAGAACAAGCGGGGAAGAGGAGAATTTCAGATGTAGTTATGTGAATGGACAGGGAGACGACTGAATGGTGTCAACGTACCGCTCAGGGCTGATGTATTTGTCCGGCTGAGGGTTGCATGCCACCTTCCCGATGCGCACTCCATTTTCGATGTCCTTAAACTGCAGACCCAGGTTTTCACCGGTGATAGTCAGCATAGTGCCTCCCTGTCTGGGCCCCGTTTCTGGAACAAGCTGGTGGAAAGACAAACAAATGTTGGGATTAAAAAGTAAGTTTGGCGAAATTAAACATGCAATGCATGTAATCTGTTGTTAAATACAGATAGATACAAAAATGCATTCAGTAATAAGTATTATCTTTTTTTTCCTCTATACTTTTGACATTTATTTTCACATGTTAAGTTAAATGGAAATAAGGGATTAACATTTTCTTCATTCTATTGCAAGTAAAAACACAGACTATATCACTTAAATATTCAAACCAACTGTCTATAGAACCCACAGACTTTGATAATAGAGTCCTGCTGTGTTAATCCTAAACACACCTCCTGTGCAGGGAATTAACGCTGCAAATCCCCCTAAAGACATCCTCCTCCCCATGAAACATGGTGGTGGCAGAATGATGCTACGGGGGACATGTTTCATAAACAATGACAAGTAAGCTGTTAGTAACACCTCGTACGAATAAGGGATGAGTGGCTGAACATAGGGGGTTAACTCAGGGTGTTAAATACTAACACTGTGATTTTTTTAACCCCGCCCCCTTTACAATTGCTATGTGACATAAAACACAAACAAATTGGATGTAAATAAGATTTGCAGAGTCTCAAAATGTTTAGGAGTTTGAGGTCTATTAACATGTTTTTTTTTCATATTGCTGTAATTTATCGCATGATGAAAGTTTCTATAGTGGTGGTATTTGAAAGGTGCTACGCTATCAGCCCCATTAGCTCCACCTGTTCTCACTTTGCAGCCCTCCCTCTCAGCCTCAGCCAATTACTCATTCAACCAATAAGGATTCATCTGCACATTCAACACTAACAAAGTCTTAATGTCAGATCTCCTCTCTTTCCCCTCAAGGTCTGCGAGAGGTGAGAAGAGGTGCTAATGGCTACCGAGTGCTGGCCTGGTTGCTAATCACTTCCTATTCATCCATTTCTACATGCAGACAATGGTAATCAGTCACTTCTAGCATAATTAGGCCTAAAGCTAATTGGATTAGAGCACAACCAGGCCGTGGGGGTCATTTGAAGCGACATAGAGAAGGGCGGGGTTTAGGCTCCCAGTTGGGTCTCAGGATGTGGGCAGAGTTAAATTTTATATTACTGCTGCTGTTATGTTTTTTTTTTTATGAATGCTTTACATGCTTTTATTCTTAAGAATTACCTTCCTTATTTAAATTGGATCTCTTTATGTATTTATTGGGTAACGACTAATTGCAGGGGGAGTGCGCTGAGTTCATGCCCCACTCCCACAGACTGCCACTATGGGTCCCTGAGCAAGAACCTTAACCCCACACTGCTCAAGAGGTGCCACACAATGGCAGCCCACTGCTCTCTAAGTTAAATGCAGAGAATTAATTCCGTTGCTTTTCTACTTGCGGCAGTTTAATGACAATAAAATAGAATTCTAAAAAAGGAAAAAAAAAATCTTCTATTCTAATTGATGATCAAACTTAGCATATTTCTGCTGACAGCAAAAGTTCCTTTATCATTAGTGTTTGAATCATGCTGGATGATAATGAGACTGGTCCTTTTAAGGCAACATGTTTCAGTGTTAAGTTACACAAAGAAAGAAACCACAGACAGTGGCTGGCTAGTTTCAGACAGAGGTGCTACAAACAGAAACACAGTGTCCTGGAGGCCAGAGCTGAAATGCCACAGTGATATAAATAGGCTGTTTTCCAGTCTGTCACCACCTAAGATGCCGCAGAGCATCTCTTCTTCCTCTTGAACTTTTTTAACTGCCTTCCAAACTCTTGCTTTGCTCTAAATGGGCCTATTTTAAAGCGCACAACGACCGAGTGACTAGCTCAGAGTGGTTCCCCAGCCAGAATCTTCAGATATGTTAATCAACTCCTCCTCCTTTCTCAATAAGTGGCAGTTTATCAAACACACATACACGCCAGTGGTTACATCAGCAGCTAAATACCACAAACAAAAAGGCCTTTTTGATAAAAGCCGCCAGCCTAAACACTCGCTCTATTCTCTGCCTGCCGTCACAACGCTTTACGCCCATTCTGTGGCTTTTTCTTTTTCCTTTGTAGCATCCTTGTCCTGTTGTGTTGAAGGCTTTGTGTCAGGCCCATTGTGTCTGCCTAAGCAGCAGAGCACAGATAGCATCTGCTCGTTATAGGAGGGGGAGGAGAACGGGGTGAGGAAAGCAGGGGGCATGGAGATGATACGCACGCTGCGTAAGGCCTCTGAAGTTTTCTACAATCTTGAGAAACTAAAGGTCACAGACGAAATGATGGTGGTACTGCCGAGCATTCTTTACTAGCTGACTAAGTGAATTATTAATAAGATAATCAATGGCGATGTGTGAAGAACATTCTGTGTCAGAAGTCAAAATCCATTCGGGGCCAATTATAACATTCTAGCTCAACTCTAAGGGGACAGAAGGAGTCATAAAGACGCAAACAGCTGACATCTTGCCATAATTGTTCCTTTATAGACGGGAACTGCAAGCATTTGCACTGCCACTGGTCCTTTTAATGTTGGCTTGTGCAGTAACAATGAGGCTCATTGTTCAGCACTAAAACTCGATCAGCAAATCAAAGTGGTTCGGTCGATAAAAGCCTCTAAAAGGGGCAGAATCTATCTCGGTGTCGACAGAGGTCGCTATAAAGATGGGGAAATGACCGAAGAGCAAGGGAGATAAAGGGGAATTGGATGGGGAGAAAAGGAAAAGTTGAACTGCTAAAGATCCCCGGGGAAATGAGCTGAACATGAGAAGGCTAATGTGGAAAATCTCAGAACTTAAAGGCACAAAGTAGAGAAACTACCAATGTTTCATGTGCACAAAGATGACATTTTACTTAAAAACAGTTGCTCATTCATGTCATCCACCTTCTTGTTTTCCAAATGCAAAAAACAACTCAGCAGCTCATAACTATGCCACAAGCTGAAGAGCTAAAAATGCACCATTACAGCCCTCACGCTGGCACGGCCGGCTCCGTTTTAATTGGTTTCTTAGGGCTCAGTGCGATGCTCTCTACGTCCCAAAAGAGCATGCGAGCAGGATATGATGGATGACGGTGGGCCAGGTAGCGTCCAGCACCAGTAAGGGGACATTTTTTCTATATATCAGGACACAGAAGCACAAGGTGTGTGTGTTTTAATCCGTGCAGCTTGAATGTCATCTTGAAGACACTATGAAGAAATCACTGAAAGATGAGATTATCTGGTTGTTTCAAATGTAGGAGACTTGTGAGTACCAAACAGGGTTTGATCAGTAATAGGCCTTGCATTATAATTCATACCACTATAAGCTATTATCTTAACATTCCTGGTATTTTATTAGGATTTTATGTGACACGTTATTTCCCTTACAAATAGAAACCTAAAAAGTTTGGTTGGTGTTTGTACTAAGCCTCTTTGAGTTAATACCTAGCATGTATTTTCAGCATCCTCTAGATGCTGAAATTCTTTTGTGGAATGTCAACACTGAAATATGAGTCTGTTATTCCTCCCTCAATAAAAGAAAAAAAAAACAGACTTTAAACTTGGACATAATTAAAAGCTTTTTTTCATTAGATTTTTAAGGTCTGGGCTTTAGCTATGTTATTCAATTTGACATAAACCATCCATTGTAGCTGTGTTTAGGGTTACCACTCTGCTGGAAGGTGAGCCATTCTTTTGCCCTATATTTAGCTCCATCCATCTTCCTCTTTAATTTGTACCAGCTTCCCAGTACCTGGTCAAAAAGAAGGTACCTCCACTATTGTTTGCACACAAAACCAATATTTTGAATTTGAGTTTTTAGATAATGGAGAGCACAATGCTTTGCAACAGCTACCAAGCCTGAAACATCACTTTAAACCCTAACCTTGGTTTAATTTCTCCACAGCCCTTAGGAGAACAGTATTCTATGATTTACCTTTAACTCTTCAGTATTATGTTATTCTTATTCGTTTTTCTGAGGTCCATTTTTTATATACCGTATTTTCATCTTTTGGCTGCTGTAAACACAAGAATTTCCCCATTGTTGTACAATAAAGGGATTTTCTATTCTATTCTCTTCTCTTCTATTCTTCAGACTAGCAGACTCTACCTACCAGCCAGAACAATTCTGATAGCATGTTAAGACTACTATTTTGGTCTTAACATGAAAATCTCCCTTTTCACATCTAGTTAATTTTGCACGATGTTTTTATATCTATTAATATAAACACACACATATATATATATATATATATATATATATATATATATATATATATATATATATATATATATAAATCATATACACTTTTTAATAAAACGTGTCTTACTGTGCTTTGTAATGCAAGATTAGGCACTGTAAAAAGTTGAAATCTGAAGCATTTTCTTCTTAAACTAAATGCATTGTCTTATTCAAGTGAATTTATCTAAAATAAAAAGTAAAGTAATACTCAATCCACTGGCCAATCATCTTATTTACCTACTCAAATTAAGGGTAAATAGACTAACTTAGGAAATGTCTACTTATTTCGACATCATTCTTGCAGTGTGTTAAAAATGTCCGTTATGGGAAAATCAGAATAGTTGTAATCTATAATTTGCTAGTTGATAGGTAGACAATGTTAGACCAAACAAAAACACTGTAGGCAGGACACAGCTTAAAGTCCAGATTTTTGCCATTTCTGACATTAAAATTTAACACCTAAAATTAGCTGCCATTCAAGAACAAGCACTGTTATGGAAACGGTGCAAATGGCCTGCTGTACAAACAGGTTGACCACATGCTGCTCAGCATCAACACTTATATTATGTTGTGGTGTTTCCTTTCTTGTTGAACACTTTCATCTCCGGTCCAAATGAAATTAGAGGCCATAGAGTAGCCTGCATGGTGCAAAAACAAGCAAAAGATGCTTCAAACAAATAAGGAGAACATTTAAAAAAGGGGAAAGCATACTTTGGACTGACAGAAAGCAGCAATATGTGTGGCTGATGTGATGCTCTTTGGGCAAAAGAATAAAAAGGCAAATGAAAAGAGAGAGATTGTCATCTGCCGATGTTCTTTTGGCATTAAATGTCAGACTATAAATGTCATAGGTGGAGAAAAGAGGTGAGGAGGGTGCGATAATGCCTCCTTTCAAACCCATGTCTCCCCCAGCTCCCCCTGAAAAAACCAGCAGTACCCTCTCCTGCTGATTCGGAAGCTCCTCTATGCCAGCATTTTGACTGCCACCAACATCTTGCCCAGAGGGTAGAATTTAGCCCTACATATGTGTGCATGAGCACACGCTCGCATGCAACCACCCCCTCACCTCTCTCCTACACACACAGCCCAATATCTGTGCATGCTTGTTTCTAAGAGATAACTGAAGCGAGCATGAAGGGAGAAGGAGCATTAGTTCAGGGACTTATCTATATGCCACTGCTCCAATTATCCAATATCTCCATTAAGGATTTAAAGCAACACAGTCTGTCGCACACAAAATGTACTAAGGAGTCTAGTAAAACAAGTCTGCATTGATGAAGAATGAGTATAAATTTATGTTTTCTCACTTATCTAAACTGTTAAAATTGCATTTTTTTCAGCTTAGGTGACTTCTTTTGCAGTTCTATTTATATGCTTCTATTTTCATAAAAAAAGATTAAGGAATAAAGAAAATGAAAAACTGTCTTTAGCTTAAGCTGATGAATGATGCATCTGTTTCACTTTGAGCTGTGTGTCTATACCAGGGGTGAGAACTGCAGGCTCAGTGACCCCAGTCACTGTGAGACGAGGACCACCACCATGGTTGCCGATGGCAACAGATGGCTATATTGTACTGTTAAGGTGCCTCAGCTCCTCCATCCAACTATGTGCACTAAAGTGCGACACACCTACACCACAGTGGGACACAATAAGCAGAACCCCACTTCTTATTCTTTCTTGTCGCCATGTTTTCCTCCTCAGCATCACTACTGTTCCTGCCTCTTCTCGTATCTTCATCTATAATCTGCTCTGTGTGCTCCGTCTTCGTGTGTCTCCTGCCTCCCCCTTGCTCGCCCATCTGTGCTGGCCTGCAGTCATAGTGCTGGCCTCTGAGTTGTCTGTCTTGTCTGCAGATTTGCCTCCTGTGATGTATGATGTTCCTTTCATGAGCCCAGGCCAATAATGACACAGCAGAGGGAGGGACATCGAATCTCTCTTCACTGGAATCGTAATAGTGAATTTTCGGACCCAAAAAAACTGCCAAACCCGGATTAATTACTGTTGTGACTGGATTAGTCCTTCAGAAAATAGTATTTTAGAGTCTGCATACTACAGTTATTTAGTTATTTACTTAATGATTATTCAAACAATTGATTAATAAAATTAATCCAAATAATCATTTTAGCCCAAATAAACATACAGTTGGGAAATACACTAAAAAGCGCTGTAAAATTGCGTTAGGTATTTCTTTTAAACAAAAAAGGGCTGAAAGGATTATATATTATTGTTTTGCCACATTTTGGGCAAAACGGGAAAAGCTTTTTCATCTAAAATCATTGATGGGTCAGCTTTATGAGATATACATAGATTGATATGTCCCATTTATCTCCAGAAACATGATTAAACTGAAAACTTGGCTTAAAGGGAAGCAACAAATCAGACCTGAGGGACCAATACCTACCATTAATGTCTCTATTAGGGTTAAAATGAGGCTGTAAGCATCAATCTTCTTAGATGAGGCAGTTTAAACTTTTTAGATAAAAAAACACAGACGGATAACAACAGATGTGTTCATAATCTTCACATATGATAATAGGCAAACTGTTTTGTGTTGTGAGCCAAACAAATTGTGTAAATCCTTCCACCTATCACAGGTAGAGGCAGCAGGAGCTTGAAGTGACTTTTTCTTAAAACCCAAATTATGAGAAACTCCAAATAGTTTGAACACGACAGAAAACCACCATCCATCCAATCTTCAAAACGAATTACATCGTTTTGAAGATTACAACATTTGCTGATGGCAGCTGTGATCGATTACAGGAACATTAGCCTTGCCAACAAGAGCCTTTATATCCCAGAGTATGGTACTGGTTGGATAAGTCTTTGCACAGCTACTCTGAGGCAATGCCTCTAACTCCTCCATCTCTTTTACTGTCCTTTCTGATCCTGGATGACCAGTGTGCTCTGCACTGATGAAGCAGTTGACCGCATTTTAATCACTTTCCAAAAACTTGGACTTACTTTGGACAAGTGAATCAATATGTCTACAGAGCGAATCCTGCAGCCATGGCAATGCAGGCAGCTGGGTTTGCTCAGACTGAAAACTTTTAACCAATTTCTCCAGAAGACCAGACTAAATTATCTCTGTAAAGTGTGTTGAGATGTGTTGTGAATTGGCGCCATATGAATAAACTGAAATTAATTTGAATATCATTAGTTATAATTCAAAATGCAGGTGAGAAGGACAAAGTATTGAACCATTTGAACATTTCCTTTAACTTGAAGTTCATAGAGCTGTTTATGAAAGAGCTTCATAACTGCTGCAATGTTATGGTTTCAAGGGACGGAAAGCAGGAAATGTGCAATGAAACTATCAAAATACGATTTCTTTTCAACATTTTTCAATCTTTTAATGTTTTATTTATCTGTGAGTGAAGCGTGTTCATGCTTCTGTGTGTCTGCACACACAATTTAATCATTAACATACATCTACAATGTCTTTTCATGAACTACTGAAATTAGGGCTCACCTTTGTGATCTTTGGGTGAGCACAGCGGGCGTTTCCAGTTGCAGCGTGCATCCAGACGCTCTCGGGGGTAGTGCACTCCTGTCTGAGGGAGCACTTCTTGTCTCCTACACACCAACCACACTCGAACCTGGCGTTTGCCTTCAGACACATCCCGCAGCTGTCTCTTAGCGCATAGCATTTATACAGGTGAGCTGCAAATGAGAAGAACAGAAGAAACTGTGAGATTTAGGTGTTAATTTAGAGCAAAATTATAAATTATGATAAGCGAAACCTGCAAACACTTTATTTTGAAAAGGCCTGATTTCCTCTTCAGTACTGCAACAGAAACAGATTTGCTAGGACAAAGTGAAGGCCCTCTCACTCAGGGACCACTTCTTCCTCTTTCCAATTTTAACTCCAAATCCCACTGGTCTTAGAGCAGCTTTATAAAACCTGTAGCAATTACTGGCTGCTAAACGATTTCCCTGTAATTACATTAACCTAACCGTATTTGTGACTGAGAAGCATTGCTAACACTCTACCAGATGTCAACCCTGATGGCAGGGGGACATCTTTGTCCTGTAGATGCCCGCTAGACGCACTCAGGAGATTCCTATGAGCGATAACAATGCAGAGCCACTGATTCCCAATGCTGATACTGTCTGAACGTGTTTCTGCAGACGTGCCGTATATGTTACAGACACACTGCTATGACATCAGACGCAGCAAACACATGAAACGTGAGACAACAACAGCTTGTTTGGTACATTTGGACATCAGGGACTGATCAATACCTGAAGTGACTTATATAACGGTCAAATGGTAGCAATCACCGCTTTACCAGCTTTAAAGACGAAACAGTTGGAGTACAAAGAATATGTCAGAGTGAAATCCCTCGGCTTCTCGCTGTGTCTGAAAGCACCGAAGAGCAACGAGGAAAAGCAGATGATGACACTCCCTCTGAGAGGGCGTACATCCACGGGCCATATCGAACATTGATGAGGTTATTTCAGCTCACAGCAGGGGGATAATGTTATAGTCCCCCTGCTGTGCTATGTAAGCCACAATAATTATAAAGACAACACTATACAGAGTGTTTTACCGGTAATTATATCCAACAGACGTGATCTCATTGTCTCGTCCCAAAGTGGCGCATAAGATGTATGATTTTAAAGACGGACCACAAGGCTTTTTATTTGTATGGAAACATAGGCAACAAGGTTGGGTTTTTATAAATAGACATTTCCATACGTTTTTCCCTCTTCACCATCAGTGAGGAAATCCTACGTGATAAATTCAAAAACAGTTTTGCTTTTGAGGAAGCAGCCATAACCCTGAAGGCAGCTTCAAAACAAAATCAAAATCTGGGACAAAGACCTTAAAATTGGAGACTCAGCCTTTGATCTGAGCTGAAACTGAATTTCTAGGCCGTGACAGCTATTGTTATATTTAGAGAAAAAGGTAAAAGCTTGCAAACTGAGAAGATCCCCCAGTTGTTAGGTAGGAAATTATAATTTCTCATAATAAATAAAATCACAACACAAAAAAACTTCACAAATATTTTTACAACATGGCTAAAAGACAGGTGACCATAAATACGTCTGAACGTCCGTCCTAACCCATAAATCTTTCAATTACTATATAGAGGACTTTATAGTGAACTAAGTTAACTGACCGTTTGGACAGACGATCACTACTTTTAGCTCCCCGTTGGTCACGTAACTTTGCATCCCCGCAGTTAGCGACCGCCGTAGGGGACAGCGGGCTGCTGTGACAGCAGATCCCGTAATGCTTTGCGAGGAAAGCTCTCCCAAAGTATTCTGGGATATATTGGCTTGGATGGGTGATCACTACTTTTGAGGGTGCATTGTAGGAGATTTCGACTCCACTACTTTTTCATCCACTAGACGTTAGGAAACTCATTTCAAATGACATAACCACTATTTAGGGCCCTATATATTGATTAGGACAGACATTCGGAAACAGCCTAAGAGGATATGTGGGCGGAGCTAAAGAGGTGGAATCAGCTGCCTACATCATACTATAATATTCTCCGTTGTGAGATCAATAAAGTTCAATTAAATATTATTATTATTATTTAGAGGAAAGAATGAGGGGTTATTAGAAAAATATCAACTAATGCAAAATAAAAAGATCTGGGTGTGAAAACTAAAGGAGAATCAAAAATCCCAGCCAACAGTATGTTAGTTAGACAGCTGACTGCAGGCTTATCTGGACCAGATTTTCCCCCTGAAAGAGTTTCTAGCCCATCATGAAGCTACAGAGAGGAGCTTGGGATAGAATAACATCAACATTCACACATAATGTTGATTTAGAAAAACAAATTAACCTAATGTGTGTTTTAAAGTTGTGGGAGGAAACTGGAGTACCTGGAGAGAACCCACACATGCATTGGTGTCTTTCTGATTAAAGCAAAAAGAAATCAAGCTGTGGGTTTTTAATTTAGGTTTTTGTGTAAATACTGACAAAAGGGGGATTTTCTTAATGCTGTCAGAATCTCATTCCAGCCTAAATCCTTATAGCTGACAGATCCTATCGCCTTTAAAGAAAAACTGTTAATTTAATTGAATTCTGCATAAATCTGCTAAGAATCGTAGATGCAACCTGCCCCCATGTATGACAGGCTTATAGGAAAAAATATTTAGCAGAAAAAAACATACCCTTTAAGCACAGCAGGATGTATAAATGATAAATGGATGTAAACAAAGCAGCCTTCAGTGATTGACGTCCAACTAACTCACCTTTAATGTTGTAGGGGTTGTCGATGACAAAGTTTCCATTCCAAACCACAGACAGATCTACGGGAAGGTCGCTGATATCACTGCCCTCATAATTATACTGAAAAAGAAACCAACATTAACGCAAAGATTAGTACAAAGTTGCTTATTTAAAACTTTCTTCTTGAGATAATCAACATCCTTGGTTCAATTAAGGAAGGAAAAGGTAAGAGAAAAACTGGAAAGAAGAAAGCGAGTTCAGCTATGGTGGTGATGCGATATGCTACGGCGCTCACAGTCAAAGAGCCATAAAAATGAAGTATGAGAGACAGGCTATATTGTGATTTTCACACATGGCACATCCACGGCTCCCTGGTAGAGCGCAGAGTTGATTAAGAAACTGGGATCCCCATCACTGCATGACTCATTCCATCCCAGTGATGAATGAAAAGCCTAATATATCTCCAACAATAATATTCTCATCTAATTTCATTTTTTGCATCCTGAACTAATAAGAGTTGAAACGTAATTGACTCCTCGACGGCATAATCAGTTTTATGGATTTGCTTTAAATGAGACAACAAGCCTCAGAAGCGGTAATCTGATGGCGGTGTATGTGAACCCAAGGGATGACATGGAAAAGAGCTCCTTTGAGACTCCTCCTAACAAATAAATACCGACGATTATCAGCACCAAATAAAACACAGCTGTAGAAGGGGCACCTCCACCCATGTGATAACCCACAGAGGGAAATCATTTTCACAAAAGCCATGCAGAACCAGTGTTGCAAGCAGACGCAGGTTTGTATCCAACTATCAACAGGCATCATTGGGTCATCAAGTGGCTATAAAAATCTACCATCTAACGTCCAACTGGTTGTTCAGTCATGTCTAAAGTCTTTTCTGCATTTTTAATCACAAACCTGGAGTAAGTTTGCCAATTCTACAGGTAGTTTAACTGGTACTGAGTGCTTTTGTCAGATGAGAAGAACAAAGAGCTGCTTGATGGGTTTGGGGTTAAACACATGATGAGTGAGCTAAATCACTTCAAGCCCATTCTTAAGGGCTGGTTATACTCACACAGCAGTGTGTTGCAGTGAGATTCACGTAGAAATTTTTGATCTGTGCCCACTTTTGAAGCGTGGTCTACGCTATGTTATATCCCAGAGAGGTACAATAATGAACTAGCTGTGGGTCTAAATAAAGCTGGTGGTGATGAAATGCGGGCAAGTTTGTGCGATCCAGGTGAAAAAAGGGTCCCAGCGTTCTCAAGCACCTCGCTCCTCTAGCTGGTTCAACTTTGCGCGTTGTTTTCCGCAATTGCGTTCATACAAACAAAACAAGCCGGCAAGCAGTTGTAGATTTGACCGATCAGAGGTGTCCTGTCTGCGGTCACCTACAATTTGGGAGATGTGCAGCAGAATGTCTGCAGAGGGGGCGGGGACGTCTTTGCGTTCACTGCGACACCTACGCAGACAACCTAGTTTCAAAGTATAAATCAGCCTTTAAGGAAATTGGGGAATCTGTCATGCTGTGGGCATTTTTTCCCCAAAAAGCCTCCTTTGAGGAGATGGTGTGGTTACGTTTTTGAAATGACAAGAGATTGCATTCATTAAATCAGGTAACAAAATTGAAATCATTCAGTAACCAGAGATAAAGAAGAAGAGATAAAGGGAAGACTGCTCTAGTATTATGAAATGTTATAACTGTAAGGCTCTCGTTTAGCAAGAAATGCCAACAAAAAGTAAAGAAAGAAGGAATTTGTTTAAAAAGGATATCTTCTTCCAGTTGGAACCTAAAAATTCAGGATAGTGCTACTATACAGAGACCAAAAAAAAAACTACAGAAATATTTATGCTTGATAAATATGGCAGCCAATGCACATAATAAAAACAGGCGACAGATCCCCGACGTAGGGACCATAGCCTGCAGGAGTTTAGATAGGACATAATACCGCCGTCACTCAGAAGGTGCCCAATAGCCTTCCCTCCTCTGCTATGGTCACCATCTTCAGTAGCTTCAGGGGGCAAAGATAGCAGCCCTCTTCTCTTGTGGTGAAGTGGTGATAAAATCGAATGTGAAAGCTCCTGTCCTAAAGCTACAGGGCCCTCACAGACTGAATCCAGCTACAACTTGTTCGCACTATGAGATATATATCCTACTTCATAGGGATACAGTGAGATTTATCCGAACATCTGTAATAATAGAGATTTTAAATGTGTTTTAGTGGAGGGGGGGGGTGGGGTGAAGAAATGTGCATAGACGAGATAAGAAAATGAAAGGACGCAGTAATGTAACAATTTGTGAATAGCTGATTAATTCTTTCTTTGCTTCTGTGATTGGATGATTTGCATTCAGTGTGCCCTGAAGGTGGGAAGGAATAAAGAATAACGTTGGTGTGTAGCTCAGATTAAAATTGTAGTTTTTAATTTTGAAGAGGAACTCCAGCCAAAATGGGATATCAACTTTAGCTCTGATTTATTCAGGTAGTGGTGGGCTATGACACTGGAATCCTAAATGAAAGATGTGGTCTATGTCAAAGTTTGTACTGTAAGTTTACAGATTATTTATGTATTCAGGCAAATAAAATGTTTGCTATCAAGCATATAAGAGAAGAGCGCAACAAAAGCCCGACATGCCGCAACTAACAATATATGTAGAGCATGTTTTATGTGTGATTGAAAGTCCAGGGGTGGGGTGAAATTTAAGACAAGCTGTTAAGAAGAAGTCTCATCCAGCAACAAGGAAGAAAGAGCAGAGAGCAGATTATTCAGCAGCAGGGGTGAAGGAGAAATATCGAGGCCAAGACGGATAGAGGGAGGTGATTGTGTGTTATTTCGTGGACACCATTCATTTACACACGGAATAAGAGGCCATGGCTGGGCTATAAGCGCCTGAACTGGTGGGGGCTAAAGTGAAATTGGCATTTTCAATTTGTTCTCTGACACGTCTGCCTTGGTCTATTCACACATTCCTTCTTCTCTCCCTATCCTCCTCCTGACTCCCGCCTCTTCCCTTCTTTTTCCTCTGCCTCTCATTATTCCTTCCCCGCAACTCTGCTCAATCCTCTCCTGCTATCAATCTCGACCCGACTTTCTCTCGTCTATCTCCATGCCCCCAAAACACCCACAGTCAAACGAGGAAATATGAAGCAGATTCCTTTATCGCATATACCAAACATCCCAGGCGCTGTGCTATAAATACATAACCAGCACATGGGGCAGTTTCCGGAGAAGTGTTGTTGGAAAATTCATCAAAGACTTGTTAAAAGCTCTGTACTGGAAACCTAAATGAAATAAGTTAACACATGCGAACACTTGAAGTTAGAACATGCACACAAACAGCACATTTTGGACATCAGCAATTGTTTTTCTCCAATTCAAACAAACGGATTCTTCAGTCTTTTCCGGCCTCCTCCCAATCCTCACCACACAGAGACCACCCAGGCTGCCTGAGAACAAGATGATGTTTTCTACAAGGGTTGAAGAGGGTGCACGAGTATGTCTGAGTGTGTGAGACTGTGCAGGACAATGGGATAGAGGACAATGCAGGGTAACAGTGATACTCAGGGACACATGTTTTGCACAGATGCAAAATTAAAATGCCTAACCTTTATTTGTTTTAAAAGTAAATAGAAATGTAGGTATTTTACAAATTTGTGACAACATTAATACTGGTTATGGACAACATACACAGTAAAGAACCATTTGTAATGGAAACGAGAGCTTGCCAAAGGTTCCTAGGTCCACACTATATATATAATAACAGGCATAATAAGCTAATAGATGGTGGATAAAGGTGGGCCACTAACCCACCACACATGCCTGAATCAAAGGCGTTGGCCGATGGCTCAGAACATCCTTGCTTAGCCTTTTACTCTCCTTTTCTAGTCAGCGATCAGCCTTTGTAAATCCATCAACAAAGAGGTGGGGGGGTCATGTGTTAGGTGGGGAGAAACCTGGGTTTCTGGAGTCATCATTTAAAAAACCATGAATAATTACTAAGGGAGAGGTGTGCATGGGCATGTATGTGCATTTAATGGGTAGCAGAGGCTAGGGCACGAACAGGGATTGTTAAGTTATGATTTAAAGCTCATCGTCCTTCACAGAACCAGAAGCTTGTTAAGCTTTCATAATAAATCTGCAGAGTGGCTGATACATATTTAGGTACAGCAAAAAAAGAAAGAAAAATGCAACATCCTGTTAGACTTCCCCATTTTTACTCTTCCATATGTTGTTGTTCATTTCTTATGCTACAACCTTTGGGCTGATATTAATTTGAAAAGTAAAAATATGGTTAAAAAAAAACGACATTAGAAAAAAAGTGACCAATTGGACAAAATATACAAACAGACTGCATTAAAAAAAAACAAAAACAAAAAAACACAGCATATAAAGACCACCTGGTAGAAGGGATAAATAGAAGAAGCATAAGAAACTAATAAAACCAGTAAAATTTAAGAGTCGCCAGCAGATAATTAGTCATTCATAAACTGGACACCTGAAAATATTAAACTTGCCCCGGGCAAGTCTATACCTATGACAAGACAGGTGTTTTTCCTTCAATCGGCAATCCTGAAAAGGTGATTAGAGGAAAGTCAGACTTGGCTGAACACATCCTTCAAACAGCTCAAATTTCCTTGCAGCTATAAGAAGGAAAGACAAGGAAACAGAGGATGCTGAATCAAAGCTAGTCCGTCTGAAGAAATGTTCTCCAATCTAGATAAGGTCGGGGACATAGTCCACATTTAAACAGCCTCATGCTCACTTAAACACACAAATACACACAGTCAACATCCAGTCAGATATGGCGTTCTAATCAAGGATCAAATGGTAATCCTTCCCACAGCTTAGAGAGTGTAGATGTGTGTACAGTATGTGTGAGGTCAGCCTTTCCCTGCTCATAATAGGAGACTGTTAGCCAGTGCTAATCGCTAATGCTAACAGGATTGGAGCATGGCCGGACCCAGTTAGTCAGCTTATCTCGCGCACAGAGACCTAAGCGCACACAAACACACAATCACAGGCCGGGACTAATACTTTCTACACTAATAGAAAGAAAAACGGAAAGAAGAGGAGAGGAGAAAAATGCTGGCCTCAGAGAAAAATAATGCTATTATAGT